CTCCCGGCCACAGCCGTCAGATGCCCTTCTAAAGACAGCTGTGAGGCCAGGAGGACATCCAAGTTGCGGACCCTCTCCATGGGGGCCAACGACTTGCCCCCAATAGTCAGTGATGGCACCAACTGACTATATCGGGATGTCGGAAACCACAGCCACTCGGTCTTGGATGGGTTGAGCCTGAGTCTGTTTCTCCCCATCCAGATCCGTACAGCCTCCAGGCACCGGGACATCACTTCAAGGGCATCATTGGGGTGGTCCGGGGTGGAGATGTACAGCTGAGTGTCATTAGCATACTGGTGGTACTTCACTCCAAAACCACGGATGATCTCGCCCAGCAGCTTCACATAAATGTTGAACAGAAGGGGCGAGAGGACCGACCCTTGTGGCACCCCACATACAAGGGGCCTCGGGATCGACCTCTGCCCCCCTGCCAACACAGACTGCGACCGGTCAGAGAGAAAGGAAGAGAACCACCACAACACGGTGCCCCCCACCCCTAACTTTTCCAGCCAGTGCAGCATGATACCATGGTCGATGGTATCAAAAGCCGCTGAGAGGTCTAATAGGACCAGGACAGAGGAACAACCCCTGTCCCGAGCCCTCCAGAGATCATCAACCAATGCGACCGTGCTGTACCCAGGCCTGAAGCCCAACTGGAACGGATCCAGATAAGCCAATTCATCCAGGTATTGAGGGAGCTGTCGTGCTACCACACTCTCAACAACCTTCGCAACAAAGTGAAGGTTGGAGACTGGATGATAATTAGCCAACACTGCCGGGTCCAGGGAAGGCTTCTTGAGGAGAGGTCTCACCACCGCCTCTTTCATGGCAGCGTGAAAGACACCCTCACTCAAAGAAGCATTTATAATCCTCTGGAGCCAGCCTTATGTAACCTCCCGAGAGGCCAGCACCAGCCAGGAGGGACACGGGTCCAATAAACATGTTAAAGTTAAAGTTAAATTGGAACACATGTCCCTTGTGACTCTGGGCATTTCTGTAACAATATTTAAAATGATATGGTTTACACAATAACTAAGCCATAATGCAGGCCTAGTATGCTGTCTCATTGACAGTGGCTTATTCAATAAACCATGGTTAGGTAAAGCTATGTACAATGCATGCATCCAGTCAGTGACATTTTCCAAGTGCTTTGCCATTGACATAATAGAGAAATCTGATTTAGTAAGAAATACTCAAGGCACTAATTTATTTATCTAACTCAATAAATCTATCCAACTCAAATATCTGGCTTTTATATATTTCTACTAACATCTCATCAACTCTAACCAATACATCTTTAGAATTTAAAATTCTAAAGTAGCAAAGAGATGCTCAAGATACTAGCTTAATCAAAGGGTACTATAAATCAATGTAACTTTGCCCGAAGATCATTTTAGAAGAAAATATTCCATTTCTTTTGTACATGGAATGTTTCCCTAGCATAAATCAAAGGCAATAACTTTGTATGAAGTGGCATAGACACCAATTTAGTATTTGAAAATTAAACAGCTAGTTGTGTACCTCCATAACTGCTTTAATGCAGTCAAAACTGTGCCTTATGACAGAGCTAAGAATTGTTCTTATATTAGGAATAAAATTCAGAGACTTAAAAGCAATTTTAAGACATTTAAACATAAATACATTTAGGAAAAGTGATGTTCTTTTGAGAAGAGTCACAGAAAGAGATGTTGCTCATTGTGACAACAGTGTATGAAAGTAATGGTTCAGTTTCACTTTCTACTTTTGCCTACTTTTAAGTAATTATGAAAAGACATGAATAAGCAGAATAATGGAATGAAAAATAGTCTTATGAACTATTATAAAATTAATAAAATAGCAACAAATAATGCCTAGAAATGTATTTTGGATGAAGGATCCAGTATTGGAAAGCAGCAGTAGACCAAAGACTGGGAAGTAGAAATAAAAATTTGTGGCACCTTCATAAGTATTAAACTACAGGGTTATATAGAGCTTACACATTATTTCCAATAGCGATGTGTGTCTGCAAAGCTGGTATGCTAGGTTTCCAGTGAATGAATACTTTAATAGAGTAAAAAGAACTGGAAAAAATTCTGAAATCCCAGAACTGGCAGATCAAAGTTGAATGTTTATGGAGAAAAATTCTTATTGTTCCAATTGTGATTGGAGCCCCCACTGCAATATCTAAAGCAATATCCTTGATATATGGAAATATCACAATTTATCGGAGCAAAACACTTTACAAAAATCCACCCTATTTGGAACTATCCTTGGACACTACCTTAATTCTTAGGTCCTTTATTAGGATTTTAATTGTTTCCACCAGTTTAAACTACCTACACATGATAATAATATGGCACAATACTAACTGGAAATTTTCAGTTTGAAAGTAAGTTGAGTCATGATAGCTACGGGTCAACATAATGCACTGCAATCATAAGAGTTTCAGGGTACTGTTCGGAATCCTGAAAGGATAGCTTAAGAAAGAGTACCTTTGTCCATGCTGTTGTTGGCACTCTTTACTCATGCTAAGTTGTTGGACTACAATTCCCACAATCTTTTATAATGTTTGCTAAACAACTGTTTCCATTTCTGGTTTGAAGAGTGTTATTCATATTTGAAGAACAAAACAAATAAGATTATTGTAAAGTCTTCAGGAAGCAGTATTTTTTGTTGTCACTTCTTACTGTGAACAGAACAATTATATATTCAACCTAATTCTTAAAATTTAGCAATGCATATAAACTGCATGCTTTAAGCAAGGAAAACTAACAAAATGTGTATATCTGCTTAATTTGCTCAGTAATTCATTTTGCTTGAACAGAATTCCAAATCAGTCTTACGAAGTACACAGCTGGAGGCATCCGCCAGTCTACTAAACTACTGAAGACAAACAATCGATCTACACTTTGTTAGCTGCTTTAAAGCACTATACTTCATACCTTAAACTAGATTACAGTGCCAATGTGTCTGCTAACAGCAGCAAAAATATATCCAAAATTAGAGTATGACAACACAGTAATGAACTGTGTCAGTATCACCAATCTTTTCAAAGTAATAGACCTTACCGGTCAATTTTTTAATTAACAAAAGACATACATTATTCAGGAAACCATGACGCAGTTTTCTATATTTCACCTCATTTTGGCAGACTGAAGTTTGCTATGGTAAAATAGTCAGAAGGCCTCTTCATATGTCATTTTATTCGATTCCTGTGCTTGCCGAATAAACACTATTCTTTTTAAACCCTTCCCCATTTCCAAATTAGGCATAAAACTTGCCTGTAGCATGGATCAAATGGGGCAATAGCCCAGTTTTTCTCAAACAATATTCTCCCAATTCCATCCCACCCCAAAGCTACTTGGGCTTTCAGAAATCCGAGAACTATTTGAATTTAAGAACTGCCATTCAATGAAACCCAGATTCTGTAGGGAGACAACATGGGTAAAAAAAAATATCAATACAGATGATATTTTAATACAAAATATTTTTACATAAGTCAATTTTTTTTAAAATATAGAACCTTAAAAAAGAACAAATTGCTATCAATATACTATAAACACGAGTCTTTGTGCCATGTTTGATAGCATTATCTGAACATTTTTAAACACCAGTCCATATTTTAACACTGCCTTTCGTTTTTTAAGAAATACTAGCCATGGTCTGTTATGTCCACTGTGAAGTACTTCCATTCAGTTCTAATCTGACAGACTGCTCAATGTCTTTGCATAATGATTTTCGCGTTCAGCTTCTCATCACAGTTCAGTGGTGCACAATATGGCCAGTCCCATTATCTTAAAAGAATATCAGTTACATGTACTTGAGTACATTATGTAGTTACAAGTTCTTCATCTGAAAAGCAATCTTGCTGAGGTTTAATAGATGCTCTACCCTGATCATCCAACCAAATTTAACAGTACTCCAATGTTTATTTTGATTTCTCAAAGTTGAATAAAATCATATGTCAGTTTTTCATTAAGAGATGAACTACATAGCATGTACATCTCAGGAATGTTTTGGAATATTCTATTTTTGAACTCATGAAAATAAAGAAAACTAGATCTTGCAAACTCTTGTTTAATGGTAAATCATCCATGACAAGATGGCAACTTAGCCAATGAAATTTAAGATGATTTACTTGCATTGGAATAATTTACAGGTTTGAACTTATGCATACAGTACAGAACTATGAACAAAAAGGTGAAGCAAACTTTATTTATATTCAGGTAAAAACATTAACCTGATGAAGTAAATTATTGCAGATTTGAGAAATCAGCACATAAAACAGTAGGACAGCATTTCTTACAGGTGCATTATCTGTGTCAAAAATGGATGAATTGTCTTGATCCATACCAGTATTGTGGGCAAATGGGGGGGAGGGGGGGATGCTAGCTGAAGCAGAGGCAAGTAATTCAGAAAAAACTGTGAACTTAAAATAAAGGAAACAAGACTGAACAGGGAAGAAAAAAATATTAATTTGACTTTATAAAAAACTTTACATCAATTCAAAATGTTCTGGCCACATCATAAATATTGGCCAGACCAATCAATTGTTGAGTTTTTCAACTACACAAAAAGCATACACTCCTCCTAGCCCCTGGTAAGAGTTGGTTTGCCTAAATTACTGTGTAAACAGCTCTAGAGTTTCTTCTGGTAAGTAGCCAATATACACTACTACATTAAAACTAAGCTATAGGAAACATCCTACCTACTTACAAAGGTGGAATTATTGACAATATATTTAATAAAATTAAATTATTTTTTAATTTGAGAAAACATGGAACAGTAAATGTCCATGTCCAAAAATGTAACAATTGTGAGTGATGCACACAAATAGAGCCATGTGGATTGCATATCAGACAATACATGAGGGAGGGAAAGGGGAGCAAATCATGGTATACAGAACTAGTCTACTTAGCTAGAGGGTCCAATACTTCTTTCAATTTCTGTACTTATGTACAAAGTTGTCTTTGGGAGGAAAAAACTGCAGACTTGGCTAGATGGATACACACAGCCCAGTATTAAACTGCACAGCAACATTTATTGTTCCAGCCTGAAAAAACATCCCTTTTAAATTTCACACAGCAAAGCAAGTTAAACTTCACTCATTGATAAATGATAATTTAAAACAAGAACTTGCTAAAGAAACCTTGTCACAACAACTTTAGGGCCTGATCACTTTAAAGTCCAAGGGGCCTTTAATGAATATCAACCTAGTGTCTTTGTTTATAATCTGCAAGCCGTTTTCTAAACAAGGCGTAACGTTTCCTCGACTCAGATGATACATTTAGAAAAGAATCATGATTCTCTTTTTGCTGTAACAGGCAGACATTGCATTATTCTTTGTGATCAGGAAAGGTGGAATGACTGCTGCCCTTCTTTTGCAGCTATCAAAAGTTTTTCACGCATTATCTCAATACTTGAATAGTCTGGCAACTTGAGATAGTTTACACAGGTCATTACTGAGGGTAAGAAGTCATCTGGATTTTCTGTGGATTCAAATGTCTTCCGTACAATCGTAAGGGGAGGATTCAAACTTCGAAAGCCTAAGAAGAAAGTGGGGGGGAAAACCAATCTTCACTACAAATTTATATATAAAGCCATCAGGCTAGAATACAACATGATTTACATAAGTTTTTGTATCACAAAGTGGATCCATATGAAAACAAACCATCTTTCAGCTCATATTTGTCAAAGCAAAGTATCTTGTCTTTGTGTCTTCCATTATGGGATTCATCATTACAAAAGATATATGTGTACAGATTTCCACAGCCTTCTCATTTTTGTTGTATGGTTGGTGTGATGCTCTTTTCTTAACAAAGAATTGTAATATTTAAAGTGGAAGTCTTTATATTTCCCCTGGAAGTTCCCTTAAATAGTAAATAGGGGGTTTTTTTAAACAGGAAGGAAAGGTAGAACATTTGAAGCTATGATGTTTCTTCAAAAATCTCTTGCCAACTTGTTCCTTCCTCAGCAGGCTAGAACTCAGTTTTAAATGAGTGACTGTCACAAAAAAATCTAGTTGTTTAGAGCTTTCTATGTGCATTTCCCTCCACTGCAACAAGATAAGCCTATAAATATGGACTCCTTGTTTTATTTATTTTTATTTAGAAATATATTGCTGCCTGCTCGGACATTATTCAAGGCAAGTAAATTGTACTCTGATGAAATTATACATTTTTTATTTTATTCATTATATTCAGTTTTCCCTCTCAAGAAATCAAGAAGCATCTTTCCCCCACAATAAGACAATAAGTAACCTGAGCTGAAAGACAGTGACTGGTCCAAAGATATAAAGAGAATGTCCATACAATTAACCAAACCAGAGGCTAGATCTACTTTCATTATAACTTCATATATAACTTCTTATATACTAGGATAATGTTGTAGTCAAAATATACTTATCTAGGAGTAAAGTTTATTATACTTGACAGACTTTATTTACTGGTATGATCCAAGCAGGACCAGACCATAAATTATTTTATTTTAAAATATAACTATGGATGATTACAAATTAAGAATTATATAAGTACCCCCTTGGGAGCTAAAGCTGTGTTATGATTAAATAGAACAAAGATGGCTTTAAACACAAATAAATTATTAAGATTTGTTTTTATTAAGATACCAAACAAAACACCTACCTCCTACTGGCAGTCTCGGGCTACCAGTCACAAACTGAAGAAATAATCTCTGCTGTTCACTATCAAAACTACTAAGAATTTCAAATAGGAATTTCACAGCACGACTAAAATAATAAAAAGAGGAATACTTCAGTTAACAAACACAGTTATCTTTATATAGATACAGTATAAAAAGCTGTTTGACTCATAAATGAATTATTGCCACTTATCAAGAAATTTATGTTACCTGTCATGTGTATATCCATGATCTGGCCTGCAACATTCCATTAGTGTCTTTGCATCCCAAGTGTCTGTTTTGCTACCACACAGCAACTGATCCAGCTATAGGAGTGTTTTAGAACAGGAGGCAACATGAGAAATGTGAGAAGAGAGAAGAGTACAGAAGCCAAGTCAACTTATTACTGCAGAACTATTACATGATTAACAGAATCCAAGCAAGCACCAGCACTTATCCAAATCTTGCAGAAATTGAGCTTTGTATTTTTCAGACTTTTTTCTTTTTTCCACCTATTCCTTATGAACAAAACCAAATATCACAGAAGAGTATCAGCTCTTAAAAACCAAGCCGCAAATTACAGAATTATGTAATACTGTGTAAGAGATAAAGTGTCCTCAACACATATTGATTGCAAACACTAAAAAAATAAAATATATGGCCATTTCAAAACTATGCCAAGAAATCAGGATAATTTAATTTTATGAAGTTAAATATTTTCCATGAGAGATATCCATTACCAAACAAGTTGTATAAATCTACACATTCATAACAAACAAACAAACAAACAAACAAACAAACAAAAAACAGTTCAGAAGTACAAAGTTATTTCTCTAGATTCAAACATAAAATGTACTAACCTCCTCGGGATAGAAGTACTGAAGATGACTAAGGGGAAAGACAGATTCAAATCCATCTCTGAATGAGTCAAATTGTCTAGAAACACCTTCATTTAGTGCCCAGAATATAACTAGCTATAAGAAAACATTGACAAAATAGTAACATTACTATACTACTCAAGAATTCACTATCAATATTAATGGGTAACAATGTTTGTAAGAAAACTAATTAATATACCATCCAAATCTAAGCTATGTAACGTAAAAGAGTTCTAAGGTTGATGGTTTCCTTTTAGTTATTAAATAACAAAGCAGAAAAACTCAGCAATATTTCTAATGAAATTCTCCAATTATGAAATTTATTCTGTATTAAGTTATTGGTACTTGCTCATGCAGCATGATTAACTGGCAATACTACACATTTCTTTCTAAATAATATTACTGTCCTATGCTGACCCAGACTTAAGTGGTCTATGATTTTAATTATATGTGTAAAGATTTATACTGATTTATACTGATTTTTTTAAAGTTTAAAAATGATTAAAATATATTTCTTCTCTGAAACAGATTAAAACACAATGAAAGCATAGAATATGAGTGTAATAAACACATTTATAAATAAGCATATCCAGGAACAGTTATTCACTAAATAACCTTTTTAGCAAGTGTGATCACCAGCATCATGGAACATGTCAGCAATCATTCAGAATTAGTATTAGTAATAAAATTTTACTGCCAATCAAATCCTTCAAAATTTCTGATGTTACTTACTCTGAGATATTCTTCTAAATTATGAACAGTTACAGGTATGTCTTTCCCTCCTTTTTTCAGTTCTATATTTGGAAACCCTGGCAATGTGAAATCCAATCCTAGATCTTCAACTGAACAGCCATTCATTGTAAGGGTCTCCAGTGCATATTGTAGACTTTCTTTGGTCTAAAGGTATAAGCATAAACACAAGTGGTCATCTAGTAAAAATGTTTTAGCTTTCTATTTTTTACGTATGTAGTTAAACATGTTCCAAGAAGAATTAATTTAAATAGGGGACAAAGTGAAATACTCCTTTTAAGGATTAATTGAAAAGCAACCAAATAAAGCCTTTCCTATCTAACATTAGTACGGATACCTGTGATTTGTCTTGTTCAAGTCTCCTCTTCTGTCTCACAATTTCTTCAAGATGATACACAGATTTGGCTACTACAGGGTCAATATTGAACAAGTCATGAGATGTTAGAGATGTTTCCTGTCGCAGCATCCATTTGTAAAAGGGAAGGCCAAGTGGAAGGTCAACCTAAAAGCAAACGGTAAAAAGTTTCAATACCTAAATCAAGCTTCTCTCTCCCCCCCTCTCTCTCTGTGTCTGTGTCTGTGTCTGTGTCTGTGTGTGAAGGGAGAGGAAGGGAGAGAGAGAGAGAGAGAGAGAGAGCGCAATCTTTTTATTGAACGTAGACTATAATTTTTTGCCAATATTGGCTGAAAAGGTAAATCATATCCAGCTAATACTGAATATTTTTTCCCAAAATTAAAAGTTATACTGGTTAGTTTGCAATTTCACATATGAAATTGACATATGTGACATATGACAATAAACATTACTTTAAAGATAGTAAAAGTTACATCAACCCAGTTATGCTCTTACCAGTCTAAAATCCATGATTGCTTTTGCCATTAATTTCCCCAGAAAACGGAACTTCATTTTAACTTTAGCAATATGGGCAGGCTTAGCAGTTCTGCCAAATGGAAGTGCAAACAGACCTTGAATATTATGAACATATTTGGTCCCTTCTTGGCTTCCTGTTCAAAACAAAAAGTAGTTTTATATACAAATCATATAACAAGATTAAACTAATAACATCTTAAAGCTAACCACACCAGTTTAAAAGTACTTACACTAGTGTTTTTAAAAACATGGAGTTTCAAGAAAAATTAACAATATTCAGCAGTATAACATTTTTATGCTGCTCCAAATTGAGCAAAAAGTCAAGTAGCTACAACTTAAAAGTTTTATAAACTGTAAACTATATTTACAGTTCTGTACCAAGTTTAGGGAATTCTCCAAAGCTTTTGTCTTATTTACAAAATAAAATCCTCCAAAGTTTTCAATATCAGTCTTGAATTTCCACTTTCTAAAAAAGAATCACGCAGAGCAATCCTGATCCTGCATCTGCCAGCTAATGAGAGTTGGGAATAAGCAGGCAAATCTTTGAGTTGCTTCTATTGAGGAAATGCAGAGGACTGTTTGTCAGTCCAAGATGTTAATCATACTTGTAGTTCATTCTGCAAGTCTACAATTAATTACAGTATATTCCCACTAGTACTAGTTTTAGAAGTGAAGTAGAACAGATACATAGCAAAAGTGACCCTAAATTTAGTGGATTCTAAATTTCTTAGTCTCTGAAGAAATACTCAGCAAATTAACTTTCACGCTGTATTCCCTTCTACTTTACTGGCAATACTGTTTCCACTGGCAGATACCATTGAATCAATGATGGAATGCAATTTGATTTGACCCTTATTTACCTTTAGGATTGGCAAGAGTAACTTCTTCACCTCTCCATAGGCCCAAGTCTGCTCGTTGTAATTCCTGAGATACAAGTGCATAAAACTCCAGTGTGGGGCCTAAACCTGTGCCAACCTTTTGAGGAAAAACAAATCACTATTTAACATTTTATGATCTTTGAAGGAAAAAACCAACAACAGCCCTGCAACAGGAAATGCTAGTTGTTAAAATCCAGCAAACCATAGGTCTTGTTCTTGAAAGGAGGAGCAAACAAAAAAAACCAGCCATTGAAAACATTGCAGTGGACTTAATTATAAGTGAGTCACAATGGAAAAATAATCAAAATATTTTTCCTTCAAATACCTTTACTTTAATCATTTTGTGATAATTCTGGACAAATAAAATTAAAGTTCCTATGTCAGAGACAACAATTCTGGGGAATGAATTCCTTCCAGAATTTTCCAGAAGATGTGAAATGTCACAAGATTTCAGTCAAGAACAATGGCATGAGATTTCATGACAAGTTTAAACTTTAAAGTATTTTTAACAGTAATTTTCAGATTTTGTAGCTACAATAATGCCAATCTGTGTCCTTAGAGAGGTTGGAAGTGGACAGAAAAAGGGAAAACCGAAATGTAGAGCACAGAACCTTTTTAATCCTTTTACTCACTCACAGAGGAAGATAAACATTAACACTATCTGTAGACACAAACAGCCATAATCTTTGCTTACTTCATTTTCATACTGGATTTCCAACATAGCTCTTGAACTGCCCAGATCTTGCATCACTGATTCTGCTTGTTTTAACAGTTCCTCTCTATTCACTGTCCGCTGTTGTCAAAGAAAAGGACAAATTATTTCTTCTGCATTTATTGTCCAGTTACAATTTTAATATCATCATAATCATAGATGAGAATATATAAATTCACTGAGGTAGACATGACATTTTAAAGGTTTTTATTAATCCTGTCTTTTGATTTTTATAAATAACTCAAGGTAGCAAACATACCTAATTCGCCTTTCTCCTATTTTCCCCATAACAATAACACTGAGATTGGCAGGGTTGAGAAAGAGTGATTGACCCAAAGTCACCAGGCCAGCTTTCATGCCTGAGGCAGAACTAGAATTCTCTGTTTCCTGATGTTTAATTTGACACCTTAACCGCAAAACTGTCTCTGTAGCCATGTAAATTACATTTAATTTAATTTAATTCATTTAAATTACTTATAATGGAAATTTGACATAGGCTGAATTCACATATCATCCTAGGCTTTGAGTTGTTTTAGCTATTGTTTGTTGAAATAAATCTAATATTACAGATGAGCACAGTAATCCTGATGTTTATTGGATTCTAGTTTCTTCACCTTATAGGGAAGACAGGCGGCATAAAAAAAAAACCATTAAATTAATTAATTATTCAAAATCCAATGGCTTTTAAGAAAGACAATTTTCCTATATTTTTTATTATTTATAAAATAAATAAATAAATAAAATAAAAAATAAATAAAAAATAATTAATTATTCAAAATTCAATGGCTTTTAAGAAAGACAAATTTCCTGTAATAATTTACCTTTTTCCGATCCAGCCGGGGTGCTACTCTGCTATCCTGAGAATCAGATTGATTGATTTCTGGATTAGTGTCCAGCAGTCTTTGCATGGCTCGATCACGATCAAATGCAGTTACATAAAACAGCATTTGCCGAGTGTCAAATGGAAAGAAAAAAGGACTATAAAAAGAGAAATAATGCTTACATTACAAATTTATTATTTTGGAATTAAATGTCATCACAAAGCTTTAATCATGAGGCTGAAAACACTTTCATTATCTAGTTCTCACTGCCCAGTGTAAAAATTTAAAATAACTTGCTAATGAAAAAATATTACATACAGTAAAATATTTAAAGGACACTGGAGTGTAGTTTAAAGTACTGGGGACTACTGAAGGTGCAATTCAACATAAGCATTTAAACCTAACAACTGAATGCCTACTGAAACAGATTTCAAGTAAACATCCCTAGGAAAAAAAAGATGTAAGTGATTTTCTTAGAAGCTACAAAACATACTTCTGAAGTTCAAACAAGCTGACATTACGGTAGTTAGCCCTTCAACAATCCATTCCTAACTTTTATATGTCAAAATCAGTGTAAAGTGAATTAATGAGCTGATTTAAGTATTGGCAAGATAGACTTGCATAAAGCTGGATTTGCAACCAAATGATATTTTTAATTTGCAAAATTCAGCCTCATGTAAAGTTGTAACTCTATCTAGAAAATTTGGAACATGAATAAAAGAAGCCAGATCTCCTAATTGTTTAAAGTTACTATGTTATATGAGTAATACTTGAGCACTCATTTGAAGAGCCAGGTTTTAATAGAACAACTCTTGGGAGCAGGGATACAACCTAGAGTCATGACTTGGAAAAATGTCAACGAGAAGCAATATCTTTTCATTATTTTCTTTGATTTCCCAACCACTAAGTGTCTATGCAAACTGTATATACTGCATAAACATTAAAGATACTCAAAACTTTATGCAAAGAATTGCTTATTACTCTTCTTGGTATTTTGAATTTCAGTAACCTGAAATATATAAGTGTGCTTCTTATTAAATCAAGCAGTCTTATGTTTCATAAAGTCATCCATCTACCTACTCCATATTAAAATTTAGTATTTTGTATTTACTTTCCTATTTTTTATTCCTTCATAATAAAGAAAACCTTATGCAATAAGGAATAAACATATTAAAATATCTACAGGGATTAACAAACTTCATACCATGATTTTCCAAGTTCTGTCAGCCATGTTGGTATGTTTCCTGTCATTATTACCAAAGGATCTTGAAGCTGTCTGTTAGCTTTTGCTGTTAGCTTACTGTTGATAAATTCGGATGTTGGGATAATTTCTTTACAGCTTGCATTCTGCAGTAACAAAAAGAAAGTTGTTTCTATTTGACAGTTAAATGTATTAAGGCTATTACGAAGGCAGATTGTGAATGTCTTCTGAACCTGCTTTGCCTCTTTATAAATCATGGTGTGCCATCAAAAGTTAGGTGCCATAACTCTCCCACTTCTTCTCTGAATAAAATTTCCTGGTCCCATTAACCATGTCATATATAACATAACTTGCCTGCAAAAGCTGTGAATGCTCCAACACTGGAAATTTTTAAGAAGATGTTGGATAACCATTTGTCCAAGTGGTGTAGGGTTTCCTGCCTGGGCAGGGGGTTGGACTAGAAGACCTCCAAGGTCCCTTCCAACTCTGTTATTCTATGTTCTATAAAGAACTACCACAAAACATGGAGAACAAAAATTATCACCCTTCCCAAATCTACACAGCTAGCAATAGCTTAAATTTCCTGCAAAGCATTTTGAAGCATACTTCCAGAGTGCCTTTTGATAAATGACAGTGTAAATTATTCTCTGTATTAAACCATTTCACAGGATGTGCATTTATCAATACACTGAATAGATAGCCTTTGCTGTGATCCAAGGCAGTTCTTATATTCTCAGAAGTGTCAAGTAATCAACATTTGATATAGTTTTTAAAGTGTAATATCTGCATGAATGGATAACCAAACCGTACGTTATTCAGGTCCACTATAAATTTCTATTGATACGCATGGACAAATTAGCTTTGTGGTGAAATAATACTATTGCCATTAGGACAATAATCAATAATTTCATACATTGTTAATTAACATTGTTCAGCTGATCTTAAATGGACAAGTAAACAATTAAAATTTGTTTAAATTATACCTAAGAAATTGAAGCTCAACACAGATCCAGACATCTAATGCAAATGTACAATGAATACTTACATCATATAGATAATACCAATAGCGACTCATGGCATGTAAAACTCTTAAAAGAATAACAACATCTAATGAAGGATCTTCAAAAGTTATACTTTCAGGAGCAGAAGATATGAGATAAACTTCCAAAGGATTTGAGACAGAAGGACATACACCATCTACAAGAAAATACATTCCATTAGAGAAGAAAGTATATACAATATTTTCATTACAGCCATTTTACATAATACAGGTACAGAAATACAATGTCAACTAATTGCAGCTAAAATAATATACTTCAAAATTTATACAACCGTTAGTCTACATTAGGAAATGAACAAATTACTTACCATGCCACAATTCATCATGTTTTTTTGCATTTCTGGGAGATGTTTTCGTAGGAGCAGTTTGTGCTCTTCCTCTTTTACCACCAACACTATCTTTATTACTATCTTCATCTTCTCGTACTGGCTTGTACCTAAAAGAAATACACTCTAATAAATTATTGACTCAACAACGGAGAAGCATGAGCAATAGCTTTTTTCCTTGAATCAATTTAAACATAAAAAATCATGTCAATCAAAAAATATGCCTAACAGACAGGAAATAGGTGAAACTAGGCAAAATATTAAATTTACAGTAGATAATGTTGAATTAGCATTATGTAACCTAAATCTATCGCTATCCACAGGACCAGATGGATTATGTGCTTTTTTCCTGAAAAAGCTTGCTACTGTCCTAGCTGAATCTTTGTGTATAATTTTTGAAGTATCGTTTTGAACTAGTTCTCTGCCTGATCTATGGTCATCAGCTGTAGTTATACCAATCTTTAAAAAGGGTGACTCTAGTTCAGTTGAAAATTATAGACCAATCTCTTTGTGCTGTGTTACATGCAGTTATGGAATCAATTATAAACCAATACATTGTTCACCATTTAGAGACAAACAACTTGCTATCTGACAAAACACTTTGGCTTTAGGAAAAACCCGTCCTGTAATTTACAACTTTTGCACTGTAAAAACATCTGGACTATATGTCTTGATCAAGGTAAAGCTGTAGATGCAATTTACATAGATTTTTTTAAGGCTTTTGATACAGTAGTACATGATAAACTGGTGTTGAAATTAAACTCTTACGGCATTTCTGGAGCTTTGCACAAGTGGATTGCTGCTTTCCTGTCTAATAAACTGCAGAAAGTCAAAATAGAGAATAGAATAGAATAGAATAGAATAGAATAGAATAGAATAGAATAGAATAGAATAGAATAGAATAGAATAGAATAGAAAGAATAGAATAGAATAGAACAGAACAGAACAGAGTTGGAAGGGACCTTGGATGTCTTCTAGTCCAACCCCCTGCTTAGCCAGGAAACCCTACACCACTTTAGGAAAATGGTTACCCAGGCATGACTGCCATGGGCGCCCTGCAGGGAGAATAGAATAGAATAGAACAGAACAGAGTTGGAAGGGACCTTGGATGTCTTCTAGTCCAACCCCCCTGCTTAGCCAGGAAACCCTACACCACTTTAGGAAAATGGTTATCCAACACTTCTTAACAACGTCCAGTGTTGGAGCATTCACAACTTCTGGAGGCAAGTTGTTCCATTGATTAATTGTTCTAACTATCAGGAAATGTCTCCTTAGTTCTAAGTTGCTTCTCTTCTTGATTAGTTTCCACCCATCACTTCTTGTCCTGCCCTCAGGTGCTTTGGAGAATAGCTTGACTCCCTCTTCTTTGTGGCAGCCCCTGAGATATTGAAACATTGCTGTCTCCCCTAGTCCTTCTTTTCATTAAAACTGGAAGAATGGTTCCAGTTCCTGCAACCATTCTTCATATGTTTTAGCCTCCAGTCTCCTAATCATCTTTGTTGCTGTTCTCTGCACTCTTTCTAGGGTGTCGACATCTTTTTTACATCGTTGAACTCATTGTCTAATCCTGCATCAGTTAACAGTGGTATTCCGCAAGGCAGCGTTTCAGGTCTCACGCTTTTCTTGCTCTGTATCAACAATTTATGTGATCAATTTAAAAGCAATTGCTTCTTTTTGCCAATGACGTAAAATTATTCAATGCTACAGATAATTCTGTTGTTTTGCAAAGTGATCTCGACTATGTGTCTGAATGGTCATCTATTTGGCAACTTCAAATTTTGATTAATAAATGCTCTGTCTTACATATTGGTAAACATAATCAGAATCTTAAGTATAAGCTAGGTGACATTGATCTAGCAGATGACTCTCACTTTGTCGAGGACCTAGATGTATTTATCTCTGATGACCTATGCTCCAAAATTCACTGTAACAGCATTGCTGAAAAAGCATTAAGAATTGTAAATTTAATTTTGCAAAGCTTTTTTTTCTGGAAACATTGTATTGCTAATTAGAGCTTATAAAACTCTTAAGAGTTCAACTGTTTGGAATCCCCACCATATATCTGACATCAGTATAATCGAGCATGCTCAGAAGTATTTCACAAGAAAAGTTCTGTACACAATAGAATTCCCTATGCTACTAGGCTCGAAATTCTCAGTTTGGATAACTTAGAACTGCGTCGCTTGCGGTCAGACCTAGGTATTGGATACAAAATTATACGTAGTAATGCTTTACCTGTAAATGACTTTCAGTTTTAATCACAATAATATGCACATGAACAACTGCTTTAAACTCAATGTAAATCGTTCTAATCTTGACTGTAAAAAATATGATTTCTGTAACAGAGTTGTCAAAGTCTGGAATGCTCTACCTGATTCAGTTGTCTCAGCTACAAATTTTCACAGTTTCAGTTGCAAATTGACTTCCGTGGACCTTACTTCATTCTTAAGTGGTTAGTAGAGGGAGCATGCATAAGTGCACTAACGTGTCTATTGTCCCTGTCATTATATTTTTATTCTTTTATTCTTGTTCTCATTTTTGACAAATTTTAATAAATGAATGAATGAATGAATAAAATCATATCACATCAGATACCTATACAATTAGCACAGCCCCCCTTCCCCCGGACTATGTGCTCTCTCCACTTCTCTTCTCTCTATATACCAATGACTGCATCTCAAAAGATCCCTCTGTTAAAGTACTTAAGTTTGCAGATGATACATCAGTGATTGGTTTCATTCGAGACAATGACAAATCTGCATACAGATGGGAGATTGAACAACTAGCCTTGTGGTGCGACCGGAACAATCTTGAACTAAACACACTCAAAACTGTAGAAATGGTGGTAGATTTTAGGAGAAACCCTCCTATACTACCAGCTCTTACAATACTAGACAACACAGTATCAACAGTAGATACCTTCAAGTTTCTAGGTTCTATCATATCTCAAGACTTCAAATGGACACCTAACATCAAAAATGTCATCAAAAAAGCACAATGAAGAATGTTCTTTTCTGCACCAACTCAGAAAGCTCAAACTGCCCAAGGAGTTCTACAGAGGAATTATTGAGTCTGTCATCTGCACTTCTATAACTGTCTGGTTTGGCTCTGCAACCCAACAAGACAGACACAGACTTCAGAGGATAATCAGAACTGCAGAAAAAACAATTGCTACCAACTTGCTTTCCATTGAGGACCGGTATGCTGCACGAGTCAAAAGAGGGCTGTGAAAATATCTATAGATCCCTCACATCCTTGGACATAAATTGTTTCAACTTCTACCCTCAAAATGACATTATAGAGCATTGCACACCAGAACAACTAGACACAAGGACAGTTTTTCCCCGCATGCCATCACTCTGCTAAACAACTAATTCCCACAACAGTCAAACTATTTATTAAGACTGTATTATTACTATTATTCTTCTCATCCTTCCTGTTACCTATTTCCTTCTACTTATACTATAACCTTGTTGCTTGTATCTTTACGATTTATATTGTTTTATTTAGTTTCCTACTATGATTTGATTGCTTATTTAGTATCCTATGACTATCACTAAGTATTGTATTTTGATGAATGCATTTTTATGTACACTGACAGCTTATGCACCAAAGACCAATTCCTTGTGTGTCGAATCACACTTAGTCAATAAAGAATTCTAAAGAAATAAACTTATATCTATAAAATCAAATTATTAATTTACAATTTATTTCCCAATCTCCCTCTATTTATGTCACTTGATGGAGCCCCTCATAGCACATTCTGTTTGTTTTTCTTGATCTGAAATCTGCATTCACCTTTATATTTAGGAGAGGCGCTGGTAGAAATTGATCCTCTCCTTCACAAATGAGAAATATATACTGTTAATTAAGAAAACATAAAAATATCCCATGAAAGTTAAGATTTTATAATTATCTTTACCTCTGCCAATATCCTAATCCTGAAAGGGGTAAAGTAGAGTAGCATTTTGCCTCTTCTCTTACTTGATATTTATTTGAACTCTATAGCTTTAACTAAAAGCAACTTTAATCTTTCAATATGAGGAATGTACAAATCACTATGTTTCCTTATGTTGATGATGATGGTATCTTTTTTACTAAAAAGATTAGATGCAGCAGAAAACTGAGCTCTAGAAAGCTACTGTGATAAAAAAACCTAATTATTAGTCTAAATCTTTTTTCTTAAAGGGGTTCTGATGGCGTAAATATCATTGGCAAATAAATTAAAACTCAGTGGTACAATTCAGATCCATTAGATACCTTGGACTGATATTCCATCCTTCCTGGAAAGAACAAAGTAGGTCAGCTGTCAAAAAGACTGACAGGGATGCAAAGATTATACTGAGTTTCTTTCTCATGAGGAGGCTATTGTACATTAGTGGCCATTAGTATCTTTAAAACAAAACCAATCTTTCAGATGTCATATGGTTCCCACGTTTGTACCCCTCTTAAATCCAATGAAAACCATTCCAATTTTTTAGCCAGACAGTTTTAAATGGACTTCCTTGCCCATTTAAACGCATTTGTTTACATAACTAATGGATTTAACATAGGTATACATCTGGGAACCATATTGTACTACACAGATATATCCAAGCAGTTTTTATGAAAACGGTTCAGTAGTTTTGCACTATCTTCTATGATTATTTTTAATTGCCCTAGTTTAGCCTACAACCATTGAACTACCTGGTGATCTCCCATCCAGGTAACTACAGGTCAAGTCCTGCTTTACTTCAGAATCCAGAAAAAACTGGTCAAGTGGCTGTTATCTGCTGCAACATATGCATGTCAAAAGAGAGAGTCATGTGGTTGCGGAAGTGCTATTTTCCATGACATGTTATGGCCTAACACAGGGGTCAGCAACCTGCGGCTCTGGAGCCGCATGTGGCTCTTTCATCCCTCTGCTGCAGCTCCCTGTTGCCAGGGCCTGTGATTGATAGGGCTTTCGGTTAGGACAGGTAGAGGAAAAAGGATGCCGGGCTAGGAAGAGACTCTATGGTGGGGGAACCAGACTTCCGGTCAGCAGAGGAAAAAAGATGCCATGCTAGGAGGAGACTCTATGGTGGGGGAAATGGACTTTTGATGGGCTCCAGACTTGAACGGGGGGCTTCCAGTTAGGACCTTTATGACTCTTTGAGTGTTTAAGGTTGCTGACCCCTGGCCTAACAAAATTAACAAGACTCCAAAGTACCAAAATATATTCTCATCAAATGTCTACTGGAGGATAAAAATCCCATTCTATTCTTCAGTTTAAAGAGGTTAGGAGTTGAACCACCAAGGTGGCCTATAGTATCCATTTCCAATTCCCTTCCACATATGAAGAAATGACCATTTCATACTAACTTCTAGTTACAATACTATAGCCAAAGAATGAGCCACTGAAAAGAGATAGGAATAATTAAAAACTTGACTGGCCCTTAGGAGATCCAGATACAAATCCACCATTAGCTATTGAACTTAACAGGGGATTTGAGACAGTAAACTCAATTTATCTGAAAATGTAATGTGTGTAGGAAAAAATGGAACTGGGAGTTTTATACATCATCTTGAACTTCTGGTGGAAGGTGGGACAGAAATAAAGCATATAAATAAACCTACTTCTACAGTAATTATAAATAAATAAAAATAGCATATCAGAGGAAATGAGTGTCTATTTCACCTCATTGAAGAGTCATCAATATTCATGTGAAACACTCAATCTTATTTTTCAAGCAAAATTCAGTAAAAGATCTCCCAATTTCCTTTCACCAGGAAACAAATATGTGGTTTTAGTATCTATTGTTCATTCAGGCTCTATAATGCCAAAACAATGATGCCAGAACATTTTTCCCCATTAGGAATGAAGCCAATCCCTATACTCACATGAATTTCCAGATTTTTGCACTAGATTAAACCATTCAGAATGTTTTAAAATCTGCCTCAACCTACTGCCCTCCATTTTGTCATGTTAACTAGAAATTAAGAATTTTTTTTTTTTTTTCAGATTTACATGAGAACTGTCACAAATCCTTTCTTTTGACTCACCAAATGGTATGAGTTTTGGTCCAAATGCCAGCTCTTCCCAATGGGTTGCTTTCATCATCTGTAGACTCCCTCTCTTCTTCAGCTTGCAAACTAAATTGTCTAACTGCTTGATAAACTGTCATGTTGTATGGCAGGAGATGATCCCCAATATAGAATTGAAGCCGGTGCCTCACATTCCCTGAATTTAGGAACTGAGCAGCCTATTTTAAAAAAAGCAGATGTGCCCCGGGTTGGGGGGGGGGGAGAGAGAGAAAAACTTTTAAAAATGACTTTTGAAAATGCATAGCAGAATTATACACTGAACAGTACCTTACCAGAGATTCATCTATTTCCTCATCTGATCCATCATCATCACTATCTTCATCATCTTCTCTCACTCTTCCATAACCTAAAATAAACAAATAGAATGTGCCACTGGATTTTCAAAAAGAAAGAATGCTTTTAAAATAATTACAGAAGCTGCAAAATATTATTTTATGCTCTTATATTTACAGAAATTGCCTTCACTTTTTAAAACTATTTTTTTAATGCTAAATCACAGCATAATATTCTATCTCAAATAACTCATTACAGAAAGAATAATTTAGCATGGGAGTTCCAAGAATCTTACCAAGATGTTTCTACATACTAAGGAATTTAAGAAAGGACAATTAAAATTTTCTGCTTTAGGCATGGGAAGACTTACCAGCATGCTTCTTCTGGGATAAGTGATAGGTGGGTGTTATAGTTTTTTTTTTTTACAAAGTTTATTTCTATTTTTAAAAACAATGCTTTACATATATACATACAAAATTATTGCAACTACCGTATACAAATATGCGCCTATACCACTAATGAAATCCATTTCATTTCCCTGGTTTTTAAATTATTATGTGTGGGTAATCTAAAGTTAGATTTACAGTCTACGTCTGGTGAAAACTTAATAATTCAAGTCCTAACCAAGCACCTGAGATGGTACTAAGGTGCCATCTAAAAATATAGGCAGTTCCAAGCAGAGTAATTTTTAGGGTGTTCATATCAGATAAATTCAATATTTTGAGATATAGAGGAAGTTCTTTATGTATTGCTTTGAGGGCTCCAATCAGGATTGGTATAACAATGGACATGTCTTTAATAGGTATACCACTTTGGTCTGTATCCCACTATTTCGGTATTTCATAATTTTTTCCCAATTATTTTTCCTCAATCAATTATTATGGTTGGTCACACATTCAGCCAAATGTTTAAAGTGGGTTTGGCATTTTTGTCCACCTATCAAGCACTTCTTATGGACCTGGAATGATGAAGACTCTATGGTTTTTTGTTAACTTTATCATTTTTGCTTATACTACAGAAGTAATAATGTATATGTACATACATACATATGTATATGTGCATGCATAAATAAATACCTTCCTAAGTTATCCAATCATCTTTATTTTACTCATTACTAATGGATATACCTCTATTATGAATCTATGTATTACTAAAACTCACATGCCTGTAACCTTCCACTGGGATGAAATGGTGCATCATAGGGCAAAACATTTTCAAGCAAGATATTTCAAATGAGCTAAATTACAGAATGTGTCTAAAGTCTGGGAGCCATGAACTTGCACAGAATTGAAATCTGACAAATTTTATAAAACATTTTATAACAAAAAACTATTATAAAATATCTATTATGTAATAATAAATGTCATAAAACATTTCCTGCGGTCAATTTCCTGACGTTTGATTGTGCTATATAGTTTAACACGGGCTATTTTTAAGTAGATACATCTCTGATATTTCCCTGAATTTTTAAGAATTTTTCAAATGCATTAGAAACTATGCTGATGACCCAAAGACAGGTTGTCTAGCTTCTATCAGAACTGCAAGATAGACAGCAACTGTCACAGAGGGAATAGTTATCATTCAGAGTCATCAGCTGTGTATCCCAGCAGCATGGAAGAATTTAGGCAGGGAAAGTTGTCATATCACACTGGAAATGTTCCTTGCCTCATATAACACATACAATCCAACAGTAAACTGTTGCTGATATATGAAGGAAAATTATATATGATAAAAACATTTAACTTGAGTTATAACAATATTAAATAAGAAATGTCCTTCAATTAGCTATTTGTCCATATTAGCTGGTTAATATATTCCTCCACTATATATGAACAGACCATTTGGAATGAGCAGACCAAACTGTTCTTAAAAGTATTACTCAAATAGCTAGATATGTAACCATTAAACACTAATGCAATAGGGACTAGAATGTCGTTGCAAAGAAATCTTGGGTAGACTGCTTAAAACTTTTAACTAAGTGGGTTATAATATAGTATGTAAAAGATGAGCTCCTAAAACACAACTAGAAATAATATACAATTGTGATCATACAGTGGTAGTGACTCATAGCAAGAATAAAATACCTCTAACGACAAGATATCTTTCAATGGCTTGTACCAACGCTAGAGGATCTATCTTCACAGGTCCTCCTTTCCACTGTTTTACATTAGCACAATCTGGATGTCTTTGCAGCTGGCATTTCAACTGATGTGTGTTGAAAAATTTTAAAGCTTGTGATCCTCTGTTAAGAGAAAAACTCAAGATAATTTATGAAAAACGTTGCTACAGTTATTCTATTTTTAGTTTCATACAATAATTCATTATAATAATTAAAATAATTCATCTTTTTCATTGGCTACATAGATTACATTGGTAAGATTACAGATACTTTGTCTTTTAATTGAGAACCTTCATAACACCACGTAATATCTTTCAGTTGATTTCAAACTATTTTAGCAAGGTGCTGTTCAAGACCGTTTAAATTGATTAAAGTAGCACCTTCATACAATCTTACCCAGGGCAAGACCGATTAAAAAATGTTACCTCCTTTTGAATAAATATGTAGAGTAGTGCACAATGCACTAGAAGAAGAAACTAATTAGATATTACTTCATTAGACATCCCATCTTTGTTAGTTTTAATCTCAATGTTCAAGCATACAAATATGTCATTGTTTAACCTATTGTCTAATAGGTTATTGTTTTTAGTTCAAATTACTGTAGATTTTCATCAATCTAGTCTAAAATCAACATAGACTTCCACTTTCCCACAATTCCTACAGATGCCATAGTATGATAGAATATACAAGAACATTCAGTGAAGCTGATACCCACATCATTTAAAAGCTAGCACTTCCCAACAGTTACTTTGGTGTATTTTTAATTAGGTGAATTCCTCAAAGAGTAGCAGTTCTTTTTTTAAGGAATTTATGATATCCATTAAGAAAATTATGATGGATACTAACATCAAAAATGATTTATCAATTGACAGAAACATTTATGTTAGATATCAGAATTTTCTTTTGGAAAGCTAGAGTTTTATCCTAAAACAAAAACAAAAGAAAGCATTTGGACTATAATTTCAATGACAATCTAATTTAAGAAATTTGTTTGAGATTTATATGGTGCTTCTTGCATCTTTTTCTCATAATCCTTGTGGATTTCCATATATCAGGTATTCTAGTAATTTTTATACTATGATTTTCCTCTTATAAATATAAGAGGCAGAATAGCTAGAAAGACAGGTTGCTTGTTTTTAACTATAAATCTTTTGGTTGGCATCTGCACATTCACATATACAGGTTTTGCACCTGCATTAAAGCCTATCAAAAACCTTCTATAGCTAAGGTTTTTGATAGTCAAGAACCTTTGAGTGGAAAACATGCCAGTATTGTCGAGGAAATTTCTCCTCTTTCCTTTCCAATTCCTAAGGATTAGCAAAGAAATACTTGAACTAGAATCACCCAGCAAGATAGACTTAAAAGAGGAAGGGAAGTGGTTTTTGCAAATACACAGACTATAAAGAACCACAGTTGCAAGTAAACAATCTATTTTCCTTTATTGTGGCCTCAGTGCAACACACATTTGGGAGGATGTTTACCTGACAGTGATGGCCCAGTGCCCCTATTAGATCAAAACAAATAAGAGTAATACCCTACTTAAGAATTTCCCCTAACCCACTGACTGAATTGGGAACATATGATGAAGGCCTTAATCAGATGCTTCTTTCTAGGTATCTGACCGAAATATACCGTTGCAAAACACTGTTGATATTGAAAGGGCCCATGTGGCGTGAATGCATAATTCCTAATTCATTCGGAATCTAATGTACAAAAATGGACAGAAACATACAGTAAGGCTTTTCAGTCTCTCCAGTGAATATTGAAGGCAACAGAATAATTGCATCTGAGAACTATATTGTGGAAAGAAGTGGGATTGATAAACTACTGAAACTTGTCCTGAAAATCATATTTGGATAAAATATTTTTGGGGCAAACCCACAATGGAGAATAAAACTAGTGCTGTGAGAACCAAGAGCCATTGTACTAATGTATTAAGCTTGATTACATTAATCCTCAAACTACAAACTGGAGTTCAACAGGCTAAAGCTACCGATTAAGAAGCTACTAAATTCTATTGTACCTGCCAATCAGTGAATTTCTTAGCTATAGAGGCAATTAAATAAAAAAAGGAATATCCTCAACAATTAACCAACTGCTAAATGGCAGAAAAGGAATAAAGAGGAAGAGACTGTTTCCATGCATGCCAATACTGGCATAGTTCCCCAGGAAAATTTTCTTCAGCAATAGAACATTCACAAAGCCCACATAAGTAATGCACAGAGACCACACATGAAGAACCAGATACACTTTTAGGGATAATACCTTTGCAATTATTCCACAAAAGAATGATTCAAACCATGGATAACAACTGGAAAAAAACCAGGAGCAAACAGAATATCAAAAGAAGACCTACTATACGTAATAATATTATTGATCTAATCTAATTGAACTAAATTCAAACCAGGAGTTGTTTTCTCTAAATACAAAGTACTATCTCTAGTAGTTAATGAACATGAACACCTACGAAAATTAAACAATCAGAACATGCCTTGATTAAAATACTGAAGGTACAATGCAACCTGAAATTACAATAATGATACTACATTTAGCCTCAGAGTAAAGTTTTTCTGGAAAACATTTTACCGCAGATTAACATAGATTATGAAAATATATTCTTTTCCTTCTCTCTTATATGGATACACATAGACTCAACCACTTTTTCAGTAGGTTGAGGAAGACTATTTTAGAGGCCAAAGTGTGATGTGCAGATAGATGAAATGGGCAAATCATATTCATGCATCATGCCAGATTAGGATGCTGGAGTTTTATAAGTATTATATTCTTGCAACTTCTACACAGAACAATTTAAGATTTTCCACTAATTTGGAAATACCTGTTTAGTATTTAAAGAAAAGAAACAATAAACACCATATAGCATATAATTTTACCTGTGCAGGATTCATAATACAAGGAACATGCTACAAGGAATACAAATACATTTACCTGAGCATTAATCCTTACCTGCTTCCCGTTCCATTTCCACTTGGAAAGTCATGGACTTTAACTGGAAATTGCTCCATCTGACTAAGACAATTATTCATTTTATGGACCAATGCTAACAAAGGTGCATTTTCTAAAGGTTCTAATCTTCCAAGGGGTTCTTCTCCAGGAAGCTGTAAAAGTTAAATTTTTTCCCATTATGTAAAAATCACAAAGCTTGGACAAGTCAACATCTAGATAATCCAAATGAACAAACAGAAATGGAACATTATTATGTATTTGAAAGGGACCACTGAATTCATACAGCTCTTAATGAGGAACTGAAATTAAACAATACAGTATTATTATATTCTTTGGGCAATACGGAAGCTAAATTACAAATGTTCAAGACAGTACAATTCTGAGAGCAGTATAATTGTATTTTATTTAATTTGTTAACTGTCTCGATCATTATACTGAAGAATTTACATATCAAATAGAAAACTCAGGTATTTTTCTTTGTATGAGGTTGGCGTCAAACCATATTTCATAATTTGGCTGTCAAGCATTTACGGGGATAAAATAACCAGCATATTTATCTGGCAGAAATGTCTTTAATATATTCAAAAGATTTATTACAGAGTAGTAGATAATGTACACTGGAATGAAAAGACCCCTATAATACTGAACAATACATGAGTACTTACAGGAGAAGAAAAAAACACATGAAGGAACCTTTTCAATCTGACATCTCTGCTTACGGCATCTTTTTCACCCTTTGACGTCAAGTAAAGCAGCAACTGCTTCATAAACCCACTGTGCTGGATCTCAAATGAAGAGACATCAGACTCAGAGACTATACTACGGATTTCTACAAGGCACTCAACTCCACCATCCGCCTGAAAGAAATAGTTTCTATATAAGAACAAGGCTTAGTAATGTTGAAACCATTTCATAAATGGAACAGAACCAGGTAGTTAAAAACAGAAATGAGAGAAAGATGTACTGCAAAATATATGCAGATTTTACTTTAACTGACCTGTTTTGTCATATCTGAGTATGCACAGAACCCATACTATGAGTAAGAGATTGAGCACAATACACTCATGCAATGCATGACCCACACAGATAGGATGCTTGAAATATTTATGTTCAAAACACTTCCTCAGAGCCATCCAAGTGAAACTTTGACACACACACACAAATATTTTCTTCTGACTGAGGCAACAAACAATAAGGACCAAACTATGCATTTCTTATTTCCCTCTTACTTTCATAACAGTTTCATTGTTTCCACCGTGGCTTATTAAATTCATCAGTACCCATTATTTGTGAATCCTGAAATTTTCATTCATCCACTGCTCACTAATTAGTATACGATCAATTACACCTGTATGGATATCTACTATTACAAATTAATGAATAAAAATATGAAGAACACTTAAAACAGCTTGATGAGAATATTAAGAGCCACTCTTACAAAATCATGAAATAATTGTATTACCCAAGGTCTGAATTAAATAGAGATACCAGATCTATTAAGTAGCAAGGTTGTGCAAAGCATCTGAACAAGGTGTTTTGCAATGCATGGGGCCTTGAATGAAACATATATCTTTAACAAATCATTAAAGTAGCTTTATGTTTAGTGGAAAGTAAAGCAATAAGATTATGTCTGCAGAAACACCGGAAAACAATTTCGAAACGAGGTATAGGAAGTCGTCATTTAGCAACCACAATGGGGACCGGCAATATGGTTGTAAAGCAAAGTGGTCACTAACTGAAACTGAAACTGCTTACATTGTTACTTCAGCTTTCCTTTGCTTTATAGACCTGCAAAGGTCACTCTATCAGTGAGATGGATGGTAAAGAAATGTAATAAATAAATGTGAAGATTAGTTGCAAAGTTACTTTCTCATTATTGTTGCAACTGCAAACAGCTGCTGTACATTTAGTCACTAAATGAGGACTACCTGTACCATGAAATGAGTACAACTGTTTTTGAAGTGCTTAAATTAAAATAATAGTTGCTTGTGTGTTTAGTTTCAAAGCTCAATTTCCACAACGTTTGACCTTTTTTAATATTTAGTTACTTTAAGATACATATTGCTAGGGAAAATAATATTTAATTGGCTCAGATTAAATCCAAAATTTACTCAAATGTAAATTTCCAGTGTGTTTCAAACATAAGATTGTCTATCCTGCTATATTTTCCTGAAGAGAAAGCCTGGCCTTCCATGGACATGCACATCTTCATACTGGATCATTAACTGGAATAAGAATTCCATAACTACTATTATGTACTCAGCCCTGGTCAGCCCAAATTACTTCTGTTTGTAGTATTAAATTCACACATTCACAGATCGAGCTTAGGCAATAGTTATTCTATGTTCAATTGTGCTTAGTAATATCATTACAAAATTACATCTTAGAATTAAAAACAACAAGAAGCTGGTACAATTCTAATTATATCCTTAAAAATTATTTGAATAAAAACTGATAGTGACAACATATCACCATCTTTCTTCAGCAAAAAAACTACAAGCAAGGATCTTGAGCACAACCAAGTTTAAAAATCTATCTTTTCCAAAGCAAAGCTATGTGCATTAAACATTTTTACTTAAGCAAGAAGAGATATATAGTTTAAGCAGCGAAGTGCATAATCCCACAAATGTTACTCTTTTATTCAAAGGCAGATGAAAAAGATATCCTAACCTGAAGGTTGAGTTGTTCAGTTGCAGTGCAAAGTCTCTGTAACACATTTAGTGCAGGGTTACTTCCATCCATATTCTCCGAACTAAAATAACGTTCCACAAATTTGTGAGCCTGCTCTTTAATCCAACTCTTAATTTTCTCTCTACAAAAAATGCACAATTTAATACATTACCACCTTTGTACTACACACATTCTCTGAACAACTCCTTGAATATATATTTATAATGTAAACAAATCACATAATTTCAGAGAGAATGAAAACTAAAAACCAAAAATTTTTCTTCCACCAGTAATCTCTGCTTATTGCAGACTGACTAGTTTCTTCAACATTCCTTTTCTTTTTATAGAAACATGAAAGACTTGTCCTACTTATTTATCTTGGTTTTAGCTTGAACGATTTGTTCTTCAATTTTTCACACATATACTCCCATACCTTGATAATCTCCATCATCTAACTATTGGATAACATTTCTGACTCAACATGCTTTTTAGGATCTTCTGTCACTAAGGAAGTTATAAGCTTAGTTGCTATAGACAAATCAATACATTAAAAAAATAAAAGTAAAAAGTCATGTTGAATGTTGTACAGAATTGTGTTTTATATAACAAAGCTGATTTCCATTTTTTTGTGAGAGGTACCTGTTGTTGGATATTGTATCTTTTGAAGCAGCTCTTGCCAGGCCACTCACACCAGCTGTACGTGCTGGTTCAATGTTGTTGCTGTTCGACTGTGTGCTTAATCTTCCCCACGTTTTAGGATTCAAACTTGCCAAGAAGGAAGATTTTGGAGATTGCGTAGCAGTAGGGCTTTTTGCTTTTAGAAAATAATGGAAAATGGTAACAGACTTTAAGTTTAAAGGAACTTACATAGGATTAATACATTTGCCAATTATTTTAAGATTGTTCTAGATTAAGAGCTACCAACATTTGTGTTTGTTAATACTCTGTATGTGATTCAACCCACAGCAAACTGTAAGGAGTCACAGCTGCCAAGTGAATTAAAAATAGTATCATATTACCAATGCACTTTCAAAATGAGGACATGTATTATTCATGTTTTACATACCCATATTGCTGCCACTCTTTGGTTTATATATACATATAAGCTGCCACTGCAGGCATATACCACTGTAACAGTTCTTTGGTATACGTACCAACTGTCAAGACTGTCAAGATGCTGAGGGGCCTGATGTTTGCGTGTCTGCTGACTCTTGGTGCTGACAGTCAAGCATCAGACCCCCCTCAGCATCAATTACCTGGGGCAGGAAATCCCCAGGAGTAGGGGAGGAGGAGCAAGGTGAGAGCTAGGGATCAGATTCTGGCAGCACATCTAAGTCCAGATGTATCTGTGCTGCTCTGCTCCACAAGAAACAAAGACACAAATGCTTAAAATTGAGCTATTCATCCAACTGGCCTATTTAAGAATAGATGCCAGTAATTGCCCCTCTGCTGGAAACAACTCATCCCCTAGGATCTGCATTTCTATATCCTGCTCTGTTTTATAGCTCTGTCTAGCTGACTATCTCTCTAATGTTTGATTTCCGGACTGCAGTGAACATTAGCCTCTCTCTCTCTCGCTCTTTCTGCTGTTGCAGCTTCTTTCCCCAAATTTGTACAAGTATTCCTTGATTTACGAAGCATAATTGAGCCCAAAATTTATGTTGGTGAGACAGTTAAGTGAATTTTGCCCCATTTTATGACCTTTCTCACCACAGTTGTTAAGTGAATCACTGCAATTGTTTAATTAGTAACACGGTTGTTAAGTGAATCTGGCTTTCCCATTGACTTTGCTTGTCAGAAGCTTGCAAAAGGTAATCATATGACCCCAGAACACTGCAATGGTCATAAATATGAATCAGCTGCCAAGCATCTGAATTTTGATCACGTGACCATAGGGATGCTGCAACAGTTGTAACTTCAAACGGTCACTAAATGAGCTAAAGTAAAGGACTACCTCTATTCTATCAGTGCCCTATGGTTTGACTCTGGATTTAACTCTAAACCATTTGCGCTATGCCTAGCTAACAAGATAGACTTTTATTTCCCTGTGTTTTCTAGGGCAAGCATCTGAACAGTCAACTCTTTGTAATTTCCTGCAATACTACTCATCATTAAACCTTTTCTAAATCAAACTGTTGTGGGTGCTCAGCCTGAAACAAGACATCAACCTGGTTTTTTAAAAAACATTGTGTGTGTTTGCATTTAGAAAGAGATTTTTTTTAATATTAGAAAATTTGCTACTGTTTGATTTCTCTCTATTACTGTAATACTTTGGGTCATCCAACTACCATAATTACTGTTTTCCCCCCTCCCAAGCAAATCAAAGTAACCGCAAATAAATAATAACTAGTATACAGATACTTAAGAATAAGCCAGAATGTTTCAGATTCTAGCTTCTTATTTCATGTTATGTAACCAATATTTAACTGCTTGCTTGTCCATTCATTTAAACATGTATACTGTTGGTTTCAATGAAGGGACTCACAGCAGTTTACAGCAAAAGCAAAAAGAATGCTATTTCTTATCACAAGCTATGATAAGGAACAATAAAACATCCAAGGTAACAGGACTTAAATGCAGGATTAGAATATCCATGGCATATTTAAAATTTAAATATTTCAAACATTTTAGATGTGAAAAAAACCCTGATGGCATCTGTACATTGAAGAGAATCCCTATGAAACAGTGCGTATTGTCAAGAAGACGGAAACCTTGATGTCAGTGAAAGGCTTTTCTAGAAGATGGTATTTCAGCAGAAAAGCAGCACCACCTGGCAACAGCCTGAAAATTTCTCAAAAGTGGGTTATCCCAGCAGTTTCACTTGAGATGGTTTTGTTGGCTAGGATAATACTAGCTAAACTATGTGGCTGGAAGAAACCTAATTTATTTTAATAATTTACAATACCTGTTTTGACAAAACTTACCTTGATTGTCTACTTTGTCCTCATCTCTGGGAGGTGAATATTTTGGCCTTCGGGGTCCACGTTTTGGCAATCTTTTTCTCTTCAAAACATCACTTAATCGGCTATTGAATCAAAACACATTATATATCAAGCTTACTTATGTGGCTTCACATTTCAACAAATATCAGTTTAAATACATATGAATTTTAAATGATCCTACTAGATATACTTGTCAGCAGCTAACATTTTAACATTTAAGCATTGTTTAGAAGACAAATATTTGCCTTGATACTCAGGTGATTTGTACTACTTTTTCATTTTGTACAATTTAAAAAACAGGTTGAGACAGGTTGGCAAATAGTTCATTGAATATCAGCTACTGATATGTATTTTAAAAGATCAAAGACAGCTAGAACAAAAAATTCAGACTTTAAAAAAAAACAAATGCATGTAGGAGAAAGTCCAAAATTATTACAACAATACTAATATCCAATTATGTTGATTTCTTTTTAAAACTCACTCATTAAATATTGAATCATAATGTTCTTCACTCCAATTTTCTTTATATGCAAATAAAGAATAGAAAATCTTGAACGGGTTGATAGACACCTTAGGAGGATATCTGATTTGGAGACCCAGTCAAGTTAACTCACCCCTGTGGACTCAGGTCCAAAGAGTCTTCCCTGCTATGCTGTAAGCTTGGAGAACCTAAGTCTGAAGCAGCATTGCTAGCAGTAGTGGCTGTTCCAGTGCTTACTGTTGTAGTAGCACTAAGAGTTCCTGAGCCATTAGTGCAAGCCCTGGGGGGACTTGTCAGTAAAGCCTCCGATTCTGCTAAATTCTTCACCTGGTGCATAACTCCTGAAAAAAGTGACAGAATTTATAGCTCATTAAATGAAAATTTTACTTGGATAGAAGCAACATGGTTTAATAATTACTTTATAAAATCAATGTTGCATATACACTCAAAGATCATGATGCCCAGTCTTGTATAGGCTAATCACAAGTATTCCAACGTTATCCTACTTGCAAACAGTGGAAGGATAAAACAAAATATAATGTAAAATACTTAAATCAAGTTTACTCAACAAAAACAAGTAAATGGAAAAAATGAACTTATTCAACAATTCTTTGACAGCTAACCAAAACAAGAAAACAATTTCCTCTCATAAATAAAAGTACAGCCTACAGACTCAGAAACTAGCAAGTGTTCCCCAAACCATTTTCCCATATTAAACATCTACATTTCAAATTCGCTTAGAAGAAATAGGAAGAAGAAAGAGAAGATGTAGTAGGGGAATGCAGGGAAAAGACACGTCAATGAGGGTGAGGGTATCCAAAATGCTTGGATTTCAAACCATTTCAAATTTAAAATATCCTGTTTGGACCAACAGCTGGTTTGTGTAAGTACAGACTGTCTTGTTCATTTGGGTTCTGGTTCAAGCTCCAAACACTTTCAAGATGGCTGAAATATTGTTTTAAATTGAAAACAAATAATGAATTCAAAACAGGAAAATTAGTTTGATTTTGAAACATTTTTCACAATCTTAAATATATGATGAGAGCCAACATGGTATCATGGTTAATGTGCTGGACTGAAACTGAAGAAGCCCAGATTCTAATTCTCTTTTAGGCATGGAAATCAGGTGGGTGATGTTTTACCATTCTTTATCAGCCCTAGACAGGAAATCAAAAATTATCCCCAAAGAAATAATGGCAAACCACCAAGAAAACTGCATAGAACTGTCCAAGAAGTCATCAGAATCATAACTGATTCAAGAGCACTTAAAAGAAAAGGATAGCAACTTGTGTTCAGGTTGCCCCTCTTGTATGCAACTGCTCCTTCTTGAAACTCCTTCTGCAGCTAGGAGATTGAGGCAGTTCATTCAGCCCCCAAACCTTTATGTGGCTAGAAGAGTTGCACTAAATATTAGTGCTAGAACTGGTGTACCACTAAAGTTCATTAGAAGGATTGAGGGGATGTCAGTCTTGTAAGGTAGACAAGAACCACACCTGGTTGAATTAATACAATTTTATTGTAAGGTTACATTAACAATCTTGTTAGAAGGACTTAGCCCCTCATCTCTCTTTTTAGTGCCTGGAAAACTAGGGAGTATGTGGACTAAATTGCATTTTATCAGACCATTTTCTATGATGTGGGTTTTCTTCCAGTCTTCAAAGGTCATTCTCACATAACATTATAGGGAGCTCCATCAAGTCCTTACAGCCTAAGAATCACAGAGCATGAAATTTAATTTTCATAGTTCTACAAATACTGAATTTATAACTAGTTGATTATTACCTTATACTTTGCATGTAATCAAAACTGTCTGTAGGATACCAAATACCAGAATCCAGTCAAAAGTTAGCATTACCTTCTCTCCTGAAGTAAACACTAAAAATGTCAGGTAATTTTTGCATTAAAATTTCTGCCATCTGAAGGGCTCCAACAACTATCTTAAGATCTTGACTTGACAGCATAGAGGCAATATGACTGTAATAACCAAACAACAAAAAAGAACATTATGGAAAATGCAATTTAACTTAGATAAATGATATTTATGATATTTTCACTACTGAGCACAATGCAGAAGATGGGGAGGAAAAGTATATTGAAAATAACATTAGCAATACACTTTATATTTCTATAGCATACGCAATATGTTAATATGCAAGTCCTACAATGGAACATGTGTTTATTATTTGCCGGACTGTACATTTTTCCAAAATGGTGTTGAAAATAACTATACATTTCTAAATATTTTGCATGTATTTCTTATCTTTATTGCTGAATATTTGAGTCAATTCTCAAATACAAATTTGAGAAAGAAAATCTACTATTCTTTACTTAGAGAAAACATAAGATATAGAACTGGACTATGTTTTGCACTAATAGAGTTGGTGACTGGATGCAGCAGGTAAAGTGGTACATGACGGAAGTAAAAATAAAAAAGCAAAAAGAAAGTAGAGGGCACAAATGCATACACACACAAACACACACTATTCACACACATAGTATTGTAGATAACTAGATACGTTATGTAGAATTTGGGATGCAACAAGGTGTATAGCCTATGAAAATTAGCATATCAAAAACTGATATAATTATTGTGACAGAGAACTAGTAAGTAGATAAGATTTGGCAGAGTGTTTTAAACAGATGGGAAAATTAAGAAATTTTAAGAAATGCAGATGCTGGTAGAAAGCTGGTAAATAGTATGTGGTCTATTACAAGGAATGAATATTTGTCAAAATAAGATGAATTGATACGAAGGACATCCTGCTTCTGCCTGCTTTGTTATATAGAAGAGCTCGAAATGTCAGGAAACAAAAGTTACATTGAATGCAATGAAATAAGGAAGAAGTGTAAACACTAACATGAAGGAATGGGGTAAAAACGAATGAATGCTAAATGAGAATGGGAACTGAATTAGCCAATAAAAAACAAGCCCTGTGAAGTGGTTTGGTGATTCACAGGGAATAAGTGAAGAATTTGTAATGAATAAATAGAAAAAGGAAGAATGAATGGGTCAAAGAGGAAGAGACAACTGAATTGTGGTTGGATGGACATGAATTTCAAAAAGAAGTTAAAGAATAAAGGCAATAAAGAGCACATGATAAGAGAAGCAAGGGTGGTTTGCATGGAGAGACAATTTAATTTAATTTAATTTAATTTAATTTAATTTAATTTAATTTAATTGTCGCCCCTCTCCGAAGACTCAGGGCGGCTCAAATAATGATGTGAACTATTGTTACCTATTATTTCCTTTTCCTGTCTCACACCTTGAATTTTTTATCCTACTATTTCTTATTCTTTTTGCATATTTTGTATAATGTTTTTCATTAGCTCTTTATTTCCTTTGTATAAATAGGCCACACTAAAACTTTCCTAAAGGCAATTTGTCAGTAATATGATAGGAAATAAGACTAATTTTGGGACGGCATTTTCCAGTATATTAAATTCGTTAAAATACAAATCTGAACTCCATAAACAAGCTGAGAAAATTTTTAGCAAGACCTTGCAGGCTGCACGAATAAAATTTTGAATGGGAAAATATCAAGATGAGGAGGTATGTTGAATAACCCTGACCCAATAAGAGAAATGTGTGCTCTAAGATAAAGAGAGATCCAGCTGCATCTCAAGATACTTATATTTACAACTTGTGTGTCCTGCAATATGCAGTGCAAAAACTAATACTGGCACTAATTTTTTGATCATTTATTCCAAGTAATATTTAGGCAAAAAGAAGGCAATGACCTCAATGCCTTTCTCATTTCCACTTGCAAGAAGACAAAATTAAATCAACTACAAAGCTGAAAGTGCAATTTCCTAACACTATGGGATAATGAACAGAAAATGTGAGAGCCTCAATTATTAATAAAGGGAAAGAAGAATAAAATACACCCTTGCCTTACTCTTCTCTTAGTAGTAATAGTTCCATCAGTAACATCTGACTCTAAACATGGGGTTAAAATAGTCTGAATAATAAAAATCAATATTTTATCCACTGTGTTCTCAACAATTCTCACTATAGCTATAATTGCCAAATACAGAAACTTTAAACAATTAAATATCTTAATTAAATTAAATTATTAAAATTTCAAGACACTGGTTTCAGCAAAACTCAAGTATTTTTATAGTATCATTCACAACAAAGATATGAATTAATAAGCACCTTGACACAGCATGATTTTTCAGTACATCCTTCAGAAGTTCAGCATCAGCAAAATAAATTATTCTAAGAATTGCTCTAAGGCACTTGTGTCTAACAGCAGGTCCGGCTGAAGAACTATACACTTCATAGAGAACACCAAATAAGGTTTTAATAAAAGATTTAGCTAGATCTGGATCTTCTTTCATTAGCTGTGCTCGAGCATCATCCTTCTTTGATTCTGGATGTCCCGCTGTAAAAGGATAGATAGATGGTTAATTATTTGCATTGAGCTAAATGTACACATAGTATTCAATTCCATTCCATTTATATATTATAGCATTCTTTTAGAAAACATTTGACACTTTTACATTTACAAAAAATATCATAAATTTCCCAGTAACTGACTAAATTTCAAACTAAGCACTAGGAAATAAATAATCTTCTTAAAATTTTGTTGAATATTTATTCATTTTTTATTTTGTCTTTATTACTTTATAACCAACTCAAGGCAGTGAACATACATACCCGTGTTTCCCTGAAAAAAAGACTCTATCTAATATATATTATATATTAGTATATATTATATATACCCCAAAATAAGCGCTTGGCCTTATTTTCAGGGAGGTCTTATTCTTTTTGGGCGCGTGGAGTAAGACAGGGCTCCTCTTGCTGTCTTACCTGATTTCCAGCTCTGTCTCTCTAATCCTAACCAGAGGAAATGGCGGGGACTGACTGTGCATGCAATTACATTTTTTGGGGAGGGCTTATTTTCAGGGGAGTCTTATTTTAGCACATGCGCTTAAAAGCCCGATTGGGCTTATTATCAGGGATGTCTTATTTTCGGGAAAACAGAGTAATAGTCCTTCCTCATCCGATTTTCCCCACAATAATTATCCTGTGAGGTGGGTTGATTGAGCAAGAGTGACTGATTTAAAATTACTAGGCTGGCTGTAAATGCTACAACTCACAGTCTCCTGATTTCTAGACCAACAATTGTTACACCAAGCTAATGCTCAATGTTTTAGAAAAGAATATGGACCATAAAAAATGAAGGACATATTTAAAATATAAATAAAACAATCAAATTCCAATAACTTCAAGTAAATAAATATGGGATCTAAAATGTCAGAGCTTTGCAATATATCCTTAATTAATTACAAAGTTAAGGCATATAATCACTTCTGTAATCTGTAACTGCAAGTCCACTTATCTCTCTCATTCCACACTGAAATAAATATTCTCCCTTGGGATTTGAGGCATAGCATTCTACCACCTTTGAGTGAGATCCAACAGAATATCACAAATCTCACTATAACTTACGATACTACTCTATCAGACCTGAATCATGAAGAAGCTACCTGTATAAAGCCATGCTAGGATATGTAATTTAGAAACCCAGAAAATAGGATTCAGAGCAATAGTCTTTAAGAAAGCAAATTCTAGTTGAATGTTGGGGGGGCGGGATCTAATTATCAGAGCAGTTCAACAGTAGATGCAATCCTTGATTAATTTGGTAAGTTTCCTTTCTGGGCATATTTTAAATTGGAGTTCTGCAGTCAGAAGAAGTAGATTTAATGACTTAAGAATATGCCTAAAACTCTATGATTCTAGAAGCAGCAGAATATGTGGCCAAATCTGCTCATTGAAACCACTGGGATATATGCAGTTCAATAATTTACTAGCATGCCTTCTACAAGATATTAGTAACCCAAGGTGGGATCTACTATTTGAATTATGAATATATAAAACTACTGGATTTACTCCAGGTAGATTAACAACTTGGACCACTAACAGGGATACCACTGCTCAACTACATCTCCTTTAGAGCAAGAGACTCTTGACAAAAATTACTTATACTCTCATTCCATGCTGATTGGGCTATTGCAATGTGTTCTACCTGAAGTTACCTTCAAATATAAAGCAATATAAGCATTTTGTGGGCACTGCACTGGCTTCCAACATTTCTGAGTACAATTATCACCCTCTGCTTTACAGACACAGGATACCTGCAAAATTATCTCCTCCAAGGTGAAATAAATTTAGACAATAGCATTAATGCCAGGCATCCTACCTGGTCTGCAGTAGGCTTTAAAAAAAAATTATTTCTGTTTTACCGTTTTTTACTGTTGTTACTATTTCATTGTGACTATATGGAATTGGAATATGGAATAGTGGCTGCATAGAAAATTAGAAATAAATGTATTAAAAAATAAATTGTAAGACTACACAGGAAGCACTCTTCAGTGACAAAAATAAAATAGTGCTTACTAGTACTGGTATTGGCTAGAGGATTGGGTTTTCTCTGAATGGCACGTGCTGTTCCAGTATCCTCATTGATCTGCTGCATAGAATTAAAGTCAATTGTATAAACACGCCCCAATGTAGACAGACTTATTTCATCTTCACCAACCTGATGAGCTGCCTGAGAACAAATATATAAGTTTAAATACAAATACAAATTTCTTTAGGACAACTTCCTCTTCTTCCTATCCAGCAACACATTTCTGAGTAATCACAGAATGCTTTAAATGGCATAAGTCACACACAATACTAAACCATAGTGGGTGGGTTACTTGCTTCTGCTTCAGTAGGATTTTTTAAACCACCATTTTGGTTTAATGTCATATGGAAATCTGGTCTATGAGTTCATCTAACTTAATATGTGACTAATGTCAGAATAATACTTTTTAAAGTTTATTGGCTTTTTGTTTGTTTGTTTGATTGATCGTTTAACAATCTTGATTTTGTTTAATCTATCCTGTGATCCTGCTGAAGGACAGTAGAGACATCTTTTCAACAGCAATATATATACAGTATTAGGAAGAAATACATTTTAATCATTCAGATAAAGCAAATAAATGATTAATTTATGAATATTGAATTCATAAGTATTACATCTTGCCAACTAGTGCTAATTCCAAAGGTCTACCTGTAATTCACAGTTGAAATTTGATTAGAAGTTGTTATATTTATGACAGTGGCTGATAAGCGATGTCCAACCCCCTATATAAAATGCAGATGTTTATATGCTGATGTTACTACCTCAATTATCCGGCTATCAATTCTGTTATAGGGATGCCAGAGACCCCTGTCATCTCGCCACTGCCATATTGCACCATCTGTGTTTTGCGCATTTCCTTTCTTTAGCATAGTGTCAACAGCAAAAATTCCTTCTTTAGGTAAGCATGGCATCAATTCACTAAAAAGAACAAGTCAACATTTTAACAGTAAATGTGTGTTTTAGTAACAGCATTCATCTCATTTTAGGTATTATGAAATATGATCCTGGACAAAAACTGGATAATAATTTCAGATGAAACCTACCAGATAAGTGAAGTAAGTTCATACAGTTCTTGAGGACTTCTTGGAACAAGATCAATTTGTTCCTGACAACTCCCATTTGAGGCTCCACAAAGAAGAAAGTGAAGAGTTTCTGCAATGTCTTTAATAAAAACCACACAATTAGAATATTAGTTTCCGCTATAATGTATAATCAACATGTTGCTTTGAAAACATACATTAGGCAGATTTACATGATTTAAATCTGCCTAATATATGGAAGATCTGTGAGAAAATGGTTGTATATGCTAGTTTTACATCTACGATAGGGTAGGGTTTTTCTGGTTTATGCAAACCCAGATTATTTGTTGATGATTCCATAAATTTACTTGTAAAATGCCATGAATCTGCTGGAATAAATAGCCTATGAACAACTGTGTTTGATAAAATAAACAAATGCAATGTCAGAACATAAATAAATTGAATATGCTATGCAAACTTAATTTTTAACTACATGAATTAGGTTCCTAGACACAACAATTGAAAAAAGCCAAACCACAACACTGATTACTTCACATGCCCTTGAAGGCAGAAAGATATGACACATTGCAAGATAGGCATACAACAATTGAAAGATATATTGTGGCATTCTCAGGAAGTTTGAAATCATCACATTTTTTTTAAAATGAAACCCTTCTGTACAAATATACAGACTTAATATTAAGGTCCTACTTTCTTTTAGTTCCCCCAATCTTCTGACACCTGATTCATAATTAATTTTGTCAACAAACAAAATCAATTCAAACAAATAAGTTTTTGTACTTTGAACACCTTCATTACTTCGTATGACACTGATACCGATCACCACAGATCTTTGGAGTCTCTTTTCTAAGGCTACCCACTAAATAAAACTTAGTACAGTATGTGTGGAGTGCTTGGTGCTCTGTGAGCTTTGTTATTTTCTTGCAGAGGTTTCATTACTTGGCTAGATAACATCTTCAGTGCTGGAAGGGAATGGAGTTTGCTCTTTTTCTATATACAGTAACTTGCCGTCAGGGTCAATGAGGGTGTTGTTTTCTCCTTGGTAGTTCCTTGATTAAGCTATTGCTTACTGCTTGTTTGTCTGAGTTGGTAGTTCCCTTATTAGGGTATTGTTTGTTTGTCTTAATCTTTACTGCTTGTTTGTTTTAATCTTTATTTGGGTGTTGATTGCTGACAAGGAGTGTTCTGGTCATTTTTGTTTTTTTACTTTTTTGTCTGTTTTGAATGGTATGTAAATGTGGTTTATCTCTATGTCCCTGCTGATTTGTCCGCCAAGCTTCCAGGAATTCCAGAGTGTTTTTGGATTTAACTTGGTCTACCATCTTCACAGATTTCCAGTTGAAACTATGGCTAAGTTTGTTCATATGTTCTGAAATTTAGGAATTTTCATTGTATATTCTGTCTGTCCTACATAGTGGCTGTTACAGTTCTTACACGTATTGTACATCACTTCTGTTTTTTTCTTCTTCTTTCATAACTAGATAATTTGGTTTATTTAAGATGATTTGGAGGCCTTTCATTGATTTGTGTACTATGGTAGTGGTATGTGGTTGTACTAGTCTGTGTTGCTTGTGCATTTGATGTATGGCAGTGTTATCCTTGTCATACTGTTGGTTATACTGTAGTGGATTGAATGGTAAGGCACTTTCTGATAAAAGATGTGTGGGTATATTTCTTGTTGGAAGGTGCTGTATAGGCAGTCTGCTTCCTTCTTCTGGCATTCTGAGTTGCTGCAGTATGTTTCTGCTCATGTATATAATGTTTTTACATAGCTCCTCCAATGGGAGGTGAGGTTGTTACTTTGGTAGTGGAGCACTTGGTTAGTATGGATGGTTTTTCAATATACTGGTGCTTTTAATTTGCCACCAGTTTGTTGTTGATAGGGATATCCAGGAAGAGTACTAGGTAGTCTTTGACTTATGGCCATTAGTTTAAGAATGGTCTGGAATTATGGCAGCCCATAAAGGACTTCCAGCCTTTATCATGTAAATCCCATTTGCAATCTTCTCTGCCTGCTGAAAAGACTCACTCTTGTCTCTGAGGGCTGGCTAAAAGGGAGCTGAATTCTCTTGGTAGGCAGCTCTTTTAGCCAGTCCCCAATGAGAGGGATCAGATTCAAGCAGAAAGGCAACATTGTAAGGTAAAGAATGTGAGATATGTCAGGGGAGGCCCTGGGAGGCCTGACAAAGGCCATGTCAGGGGCTGAAAATCCTGCCTGGATTTTGGCAGGGAGGATTTTCAGCTCCTGAGTGAAGCCTCAAGGATCCCCCCCTATCCCCGAGTCACCCCACAAAATTTACCTAGCAACTAACAATCACACCTGGGAGTGCCGGGATTGTAGTGGTTGAGAGAAGCAGTCATGTGGGCAACTTTTTAATGACTGTTTCGCTTACTGACCAAGATTCCAGTTCTAACTGTGCTCTTACATTGAGGACTACCTGTACTGTGGTAGGGTTTTTTTTCCCTTTCCTTGTGAATTTTAATCTTTTGAAGATGTTGATTGTTTCATGTATCTTCTGTTGATGTTGTTTCATGTGTTCCGTTTGTGTGTGTTTCTCAGCTGTTAAATGTCATTGCCAAAGGAGTTCACATAGCACCCAGTATGTTGACATTCCAGAGCCAAGGATTTTAAAAATATTATTCATTTCACTTTATCTGGTTTTTATCTAATCTGCTTTTATTCTATTGTTTTCAACTTTAACAATTATGTTATTCTCTTTCTATACTGATAGAATGGTCTTGCTACGTAGTGGCCTACAAGATTTTATTCCCAGATAATGTCAATAAACTTTTCCTCAAGAAATGTGCTGCAGTATCCTTGTCAGCTTCTTAAAAATAATTTCTATTGCTATCCTATGCATCATCCTTTTCCCAGCTGGGCACTTTACTGATTCACTGGACTTCATCTATAAAAACTACCAGCTAGTAAACAAAAATAATTGACACATGAACTTACTTTGCTTCATAAGCTGAACTGCTAGCATAGGACAGTTGGAACACATTAGGGAAAACATGCGCACCACCATGATGAACATCCCTGAGCTCAAAATTGGAGGAGTCACTACTAGGAGTTGTTGAATATTTGTAAGCAAATCCTTAGAAGCAACCTGCTGCAGCAAATTCTTTGAGAAAAGAAAGATAAATTATTAATACTTCATATAATCAACCCTTTTTAAGATTATGCTGAAGAAGAAAAAAAAAAAAGACGCTACCTCTTCATGTTGGAAGTTGTCCACCAAACGTGCAAAACAAAGGCAAGTGCTTTCTACTGACTTTTTATCCTATATGGTTTGAATACAAATATTATGTTTTAATATACAAATATACATCATCAGGCATTTCAAGAACCAAATCCTGAAAATTTTCACTAAGAACTCAAAGATAGTGACCAAGAAATACACAAAAACATCTAACTCAGCTCCAGTATCCTATAAGAAAAAAGAACCCAAAGAACTGAAACAATTGCTTTTTTATTTTGGCTGTAAAGCTAGGCTGATATGAAGTATTTTCTCCCATAATATATCTCATTATCAGTTAGAATTACAGGAAATTCTGCATCATCATCATCATCATCATCATCATCATCATCATCATCATTTTATTTATATACCGCCCATTCTCCCAAAGGACTCAGGGCGGTGTACAGCCAGAATTAAAATACAAATGTACAATATGAAATACCTTGAACCATACAACATGAATGCCTTAAACCATACAACAGTTCAAAAGATTTTCCAACCTGGTGGGTTAGCCTTTGGGTAAGCAGTGGAAGAGAATCTGCAACAAAGTGAAACTCATCAGGAGTGATGCTCTGGCAGCAATTGGCAGCAATAGCTAATGCATTCCTCTGAGCATTTATGCTGAAAAACTCCAGGTACAGCAAACAGTCTGCTAAGCCTCCCTATAAAAACAAAAGTTTAAAAAAATGTTTGAGTCATAAGAGACTTTATCTCATCCAGGGAAGGAGGCAGGGAGAGGGGGGGAGAGGGAGATGATCACTGTAACAGTAACTTTTTTTAAATTGGAAGCAGTACTTACTGCCTGCAAAATAGCTTTACTGTGTCTGCGTGACAACATCTCCAAGGCAGTCAATGCTTGCTCTGCCACATCAATACACTGAATAACTTGAAGCTAGAACAAATGAAAATTATTTAAGTCATATGCAATGAATCGAGATAACTGTCTAAAATAGCAAACACTTCCAAATGCTCAATGTTCATGTTATGTAAGGAATCACTTACATTTTCAATTCAATTTTTTCTTCTCATTCATTTTAGCAGTTTTTAAAAGGCATTTCAAAATACTCAGAAGCCTAAAGTATATAAAAGACCAGAAATTCTAAAAGAAAACTAAAACTACTTCCTGAATTGAATTTATGATCAAAGGTACCCTATTAGTTATTCTAAATGCTTATCATTAGCTGCCATTCCCTCTGACACTCATGGATAATCTCAAAATCTAGGAAAAAAATCTAGAACAGCCCTTTCCAAACTTGGATGAATTACCCAAAATTACCGTATTTTCCAGAGTATAAGACGCACACACACACACCCGCTAAAGGAGGGTGAAAATTTGGGTGTGTTTTATACACTGAATGTAGCTGCACCCATCCGCCAGCCCCCACCCTATGGTCTCTGCCTCCCAGCAATTTGCCTCCTTGCAGCAAACAGCAAAGCCTGTTTCAGTTTCAGCTTCAGCACAGCCTGATTAGCACAAGCAGCTGATTGTCGGTTGGATCGGCCTCCCGACCATCAGCTGTTTCAGGTTGCAGGGATTGCCGTTGCGTATTGCTGCCTCTGCGTGCCCCATTTTCAGCCTTTGCTGTTTGCTGCAAGGAGGCAAATTGCTCAGAGGCAGATTTTTTTTTTCTTGTGCTAATCAGTTCGGTTGTGCTGAAAATGAAAATGAAACAGGCTGTTCGCTGTTTGCTGCAAGGAGGCAAATTGCTGGGAGGCAGAGGCAGATTTTTTTTTCTTGTTTTCCGCCCCCAAAAAGGTAGGTCTTATAGTCCGGAACGTCTTATACTCCGAAAAATACAGTAGATAAAAGTGGTTTCTCTTTGGGTAACAACACACAAAACCATTACCCAATCACAAGAGGAAAAATTAAATTGACTTAAGAGTATTTTACCTATATTGGGTAACAAGGACTTTCTAATAAACAGTTTCAGGTAAAGAAGCAAAAAGTTTGGGAAGCACTGATCTAGATCTAAAAATTTGATCTACTAGAATATATATCTACTAGAATTTATACTAAATTCATGGAGAAGATATTCACTTGTATCATAAATATACATTAACTATGATAATATGTTTGGGTACAAATCAGGAAGAAATATAAGAAAACAATTAAATAAGCCAAAGATAATTAAACATGGAGATTAAAATAGAAACAAAAAAGAAAATATTTTGCACAAGGGAACAAATATGTTTCAAGTTTTCATTGTATTCCAAACAATGCTTGGAATACTAGGCAAAAAATCTAAATTTTACAATTTATCTGATCAATATTAGACAACTTCACATTTCTATAATTAAACTTTTTCAAAACCAATTTTCTATTCTCAAATGCACCAGTTCTATATTTTATAGTGTTCCTGCTCTATCCCTACTGAAAGAACAATTAAGAATATTCAGCTATAAATATAAATTATAAAATTATTTACTTCTCAAAAGAACTTATAGGAAATTCTGAATTCCTGTACCACAAACAGGCTAGTATTAAGTACAGCCAATGAACAATGACTTTGAGAACATTAATTGACAATGTCTTTTATTGCAATTCTTGATTGATCAGTTTTTACCTTCTCCAAAAAAACAGGAATTGCATCCACCACAACTGCAGATGATCTGGGAAGTGCTTCCATCATGTAAGTTAAGGCTCGACAAGCATGATTCATCTGTGAAAGCAATGCAAAAGCAGTCCTTCCAGATCACACCATAAGCACAAAAGCTTGCTTATTTTGCACAGTATTTTCTTTCATAGTATAGCTAACTAGAAATCCCAAAGAAGCTCAGAAGCAGAATATTAAATATTTCTCCTTTCTACTGCTAGTTCCCATAGGCATTATTTTAGAGACAAAATGTTTCTAATCTTGAATCGAACCCTGAAGATAAGTAGCGCATTTAGACATTTGCCCTCAAAATGTAGGGTATACATTCAAGATGAAATACTCACAATGTCGAAGTTGTGCTCCATCTGTAGCAAAGTTATCTATAAATAATAGAAAAAGAATAGTCTTGATTCTATTTATTGATTTATACTGCTCTTTCCTTCAAAAGCTTAAGGCAGCAATTATGTGTATGTCTTTACGGTTTATACAATATTCCCTATTAGCACTCTCAGTAATAGATTAATGAAGTGTGTATTGTATTATATTGAGCAGACAATTATCAGGTGACACAAAAATTACAGCTGTCAGCAAGAAAGGCTAGTAAAAAGTATTTCTAAAATTTAGCATCTCCCCATCCTGAACAATTTATGTTTCTATTTTAGGTACATTGCTGTATTATTTTAAGATAGTTTAAGGATTAATCTAACAATTCTTAATTTTTTATGCTATGGACCCCTTCAAATAAGTAAGAACATGGGGAAAATAACTGCTTCCATTTATGTACATATTTCAATTGATCCATTTGGTCTTTCATGAAATTACAATGAATCAAAGGTAAAAGTTGATATGAATTAATGAATATCCTTACCAGAGCTGGAACAACACTCTTGACTGGAAAACCTCCTAAAGTTTCTTCATTACCCATGACCAATAGCTGACACATTTCTATCACTGACTGTAACTGCTGGCTTTCATCAGTGGCCTGAAGCCCTTGTAGAAGTTGCTGAGCTTTAGAACCTAAAAAAGAAAGAAAGAAAGAGAGAGAGAGAGAGGGAGGGAGGGAGGGAAATTCAAAGCATATTAAGAGCCATGGTGGTGCAGTGGTTAGAATGCAGTATAGCAGCTTAATTCTGCTGGCAGTTGACTGCCGGCAGTTTGAGTCTCACCAGCTCAAGGTTGACTCTCACCAGTTCTGAGGTTGGTAAAATGAGGACTCAGATTGTTGGGGCAATATGCTGACTCGTAAACTACTTAGAGAGAGCTGTAAAGCACTATGAAGTGGTATATAAGTTTAAGTGCTATTGCTATTTTTTCACATTTTCACATTTATTTGATTATAATAGATAATAACTTTATTTGTTCCTTATTAAAAATTACAATGAGAACCCAATAAAATTAATTCATCACCACCCATGCCAGCTTCATCAACATCCTAGACCTGGGGGGGAGCCAGTCTTTACTGCCTTCTTGAAAGTTAATAGGGTGGGATCCATGGATACAGTATCTCCAACTATACCGTTAGGCAGTATTTGATAAGAATTTAATGCTTGATTATAATCCTACAAAATGAAGACTCACTATCCTAAAGTACTGTAAAATATGCAAATCAGTCTACTTACTAGCTCCACTTCCAATTGTTCTGTGGAATAGCTGAGACATTCGAGGGCCAAGAGGACCAAACAGATGTGGAGGGAGTCCTCTAGCTTCTAACAAAGCTAGAAATAAAAATGAAAACTTCATTAAACTCTTTGTATTATATTACAAGCTATGATTTACATAATATAAAATTTCATTTTGTAGCATTTAAATGATTGAAACTTATGCTGCATTTTTATTTTACAAGATTAATTATTAGGCCCAGTTATATATATTTCACTTTTGTAGAATCCTAGACATAAAGCAGTTTTCTCTTGAATGCCACTAACATTGTAATTTATCACTATGCAATTTTAATGACCAGACATCTTTTTGTTTCTGCACAAAGTTTTAAATTTTGTAAAATTTAGAAATAGTCCTGTTAGATATATCCTACTTTACCTTTACTTATCTAAGCCAAAATTGAGGAAACTTGCTCTTCTTCCATATTAAAAATAGCAAAATTTGAATGGAAAATTTACATTCCTATAGATAATAATGGATTTTGATTTCCAAGAACTTTAATAGGCATGCCAATAGTGAAGAATGTTAAGAATAGGAGTACAAACAAAACCTGGTAGACAAAGATTCCCTCAACACATGTGTATTTTGGTTAGGTGAACTGAAAACATCTTTGAGAATAAAAGGGGACTGAGTTCTAAAGAAAGTTATGCAGCTACATAGATTGCAGAAGTCCCTCTAGTAATAAATACCTTTGAATAATGAGAGAAAACAGGATGCTACAGAAGTAGAACAGTTTCTAAAACCCATTTTCCCTAAAATAAAATGGATTTTACAACTGTATTAATATGCTTCTTTAAATCGTAATAATAATTTCAATGTATTCATTTATACCAAAGATGATTGATATGCCACTAGTTTTAGCAGACCTTTAATTACTTGGTCAAAAATGACCAAGCATTTTCTTCAAGTTATAGAAAAAAATTGAAGTGAACATCAGAAAAGGCTTCTAAGAAAGACTCCAACTGTTTAAAAGAAATCTAGAGAGTTGTAACCTTAAAATTGTTATTTATATAATGGAAGCTTAGTATATACCTTGTAATCTTCCCATCTCAGAATCATCTGATTCACTTTCACCAGAGGTGGTCATGCCCACAGCCCCAGCAACAGAACTAGAAGCTAATGAAGAACACAAAATAAATGGCATTAGTAAATCATGCAGCTTACATACTTACAAACTCAGAAATCTTCCTTCCAAAGTTGTGAACGAAACCTTTAACAACCCCAGTAGGAATTGGAATGGGCATACAAAACAGGAGGTTTATTTTTAGTTTTGACTTACACAGTATGGAAAGACTGCACTTGAACAGCCGGTTTATGCCTTCAACTATGCATGTGACTGAAACATTCTGAATTTTTACTTATTATGATTTTTATTTGAAATAAGGAAAAACACGTAAACAGAAATCTGACAACTCTACAAAATATGATTAGCGTAAAGTGTTCATCACAAGGGCTTGACAGATCTGAAATTATAGTATACAGATCTGAAATGTACACCAAAAAGTATTGGTATAAAATCTGCACACACCACAAAAAAGAATGAAAATTACTATTGTAAAGAAATGTCCTCCATGAAAATCAAGGAACATGTTCATATCTCTTAAGAAACTTTTCCAAAAGAAGCACAATGCAGTGATCAGAATTAAGTTCTAGATTGCAATGCGGTTTCATTTATTATTAAGTATGTGTAAGATTGCAGCTTAACCAAAAATAGAAAACTATGTCAATCATTATTCTATTAAAATCAGAAAATAAGCTACAAAATAAGCTTATTAATCATCACACATTGACAACAATTTAATTTCTTTAACTGCATTTAACAATATTTTTATCAAAGTATACAAATATATCAGATAAAAATGTATTTAACTAGGATCACTATAGGAAAACCCTGGTTCCTTTTAAACTGTACTAAAGACACTGGAAAGAAGTTAAAGGTTCTTTTGAGATATTTTCCTGTTCTCAAATGTTATATTCACTTAACAAGCAATAGCAACTGTCATCTCAAATTAATTAATAGTGATAAGGGCTTTTCCTTAATTTCAATGATAAAACTTTGAACAACTGTATGTTATTAGAAAGAGAATATGTCAAGAAGAAACATGAAGCTCTAATTAAATTAATTAATTGCTAAATCATGACAATGCGTGTTTTCCCTTTTCAGAGCTGGGGTGGGAGTGGCCTACCCATGACGCATCCAGCCCGTGGGCTGTCAGTTTGACACTCCTGGTCTAAGAGGACCTCTAGATTATCAATCCACTTTGATTGGGTTAGTGTGACCCTGTCCAGAGCTAATCATGGAATATCTTTGGAAACAGAGGGCTTCCATACTTTCACAGTCTCCATATATTCTCAACAATGTCTCCTGTTCAGCCCAGAATTAAGATATAAATCAGTATCCTTTGCTTACTGGTGATATCTGAATCTATCCTAGTAGAGACCACCCTGAGCAGCTTCATTTAGGTCTTAAATAGGAAGAGGGGAAATACCATACCTTATGTCTCTCCACAGTAGAAGGCCTTAAGGTTTGTCCTCTCATGCTTACCACTGATTTGAATCACTACTTAGAAAGAACCACCACAATACAATGCCCCCAATATCAAATATCTCAGATGGTTTAAAAGGATACCATGATTAATTATATTGAAAGCCACTGAGAGATCAATCAGAACCAGGGGGTTTAATTTCTCCAAGTTGTTCTTGAGAGAGACCAATGTGAATTCATTTCTCTGTACCTGAGCCTAAACCTTGACTGAAAAGAATAATCTATTTTCTCCAGAATTCCATCCAATCTCAGCACCCATCAACCCTCAAACTTTCAATAACATTCTCCCTGAAGGAAAGATCACAGACTGGTGAATAGCTAATCTAAATTGCTGGGTCAAGTGAAGGCCACAAGTGAATAGCTAATCTAAAATACTAGGTCAAGTGAAGGCTTCTTGATAACAGAGTGCACCATGCCTCCTTCAAAGCAGGCAGCATCACATTTCCCTCAGAAAGTATTCATTACCATCCAAACTTAGCATTCTGTCACACTTTAGGAGTTTTTCACCAACCAGAAGAAAGAATGGGGATTCAAGATGTAAGTGGCTGTGCTAATTTTGCAGAAATCAGGACTAACAGACTAAGAGACCCCTTTAAAATAATCCCACATAATCTTGCAAATTTATCTTCATAGGTTATAACCAGTTAACAAACAGTTAACATTCAAATTAAGAGTGAATCTGAGTGATTTTAGCCCACAAACCCCTCACAGTGACTCAAAACATGGTATTTTAGCCTATTTTCCTCCAAAGAGCTGCAACACTTTAAACCGAACATCCAGCCAGTATAAGGACATAATAAAAGCATGAAAAATTGTTCTTTTTCCATATTTATTGCCACAGTATAGTCTCAAACCCAAGTTCACATCTGTATTCAGTCAAATACCTTTTCTCTGTTGCTTCATCTCCCAAAGCTTCTCAGTAAACAAGGAAAAATATCTGGATTGGCAACTTGGAAAACCACTCAGGTCTAATTCGGTCCTATATTCCAGAATGCTACTAAGTCTTCTGCCACAAAAATGTTGGGGAAATGATTGCCACTGTAACTTTTGGGAGGGAGGGGGGGGAATCAAGTATTCTCAAATCAAGAAGATCCATTAGGCACCTGGGATGGACAATCAAATAAGTCTATCCTTGTAGAACTTAGCAATACTGTCAAGTACACAGCAATCACGTTGTACAGCTAGCTTTCTAAATGTAATTTTTCCTTTAAAAATATAGAAACAAGACTTCAAAGTATTATTTTAGCCAACTACAGTGTTTTAGAAATGGTGAGTATTAAGATTTTAGTTGTTTCTTTGTTTAAATAAGCTCAATTTATATCATAAATTAGATATGAAAGTCCTAAATTTATCAGAACACATAAGTGGTTTAACAGCTATATCAGTATCCTCAACTTTCTACCATAATTGGAACCAGAATCCCAGTTACTATGGAATCACTGAGTGAAGCAGTCATTAGGTGAGAGGCCTACATGATCGCTTCACTCAATGACTCCATCCCGGCACTCCCGTTAGTAGTATTTAAGCCATTTCATGGGTTGTAAAGGAGATGGAGTGAAAGAGCTGCCTGCCAAGTTCAGCTCCCTTGTACGTGGAAGAACAGGGGTGAAATGCTCCTGGTTCGAACCGGATCACCTGATCCGGTAGCAAAAATCCCTGTGCCCCCCCCATACCCTTTTCTGACGAAAAAATGCTTTTAAAAGTTTTTTTAAAAAGCCTCTGATGATCATGCGGCTCAACTGGAATCGTCAGTCTTTTCTGCAACCTTTTGGCCGAAGAGGTGGTAAAAAAAAATGCTTTGAAAAGTCTCTGATGATCCCAGCTGAGTTGCCTGATCGGCAGAGGTTTTTCAAAGCATTAGAAAAAATGCTTTGAAAAGTTGTTTTTTTTAAAGTTGGCCACACCCACCCAGTCACATTACCCCCCCAAGCCATGCCCACAGAACTGGTAGTAACAAATTTTACATTTCACCCCTGTGGAAGAGAATTCCTTTGGCAGGCTACAGGAAAGGAGCTCAGATCTTTAGGATCTGAGCTCTGTTTTTTTATCCTGCCAGAGCAATTATGCACCCCTCTCCATGTGCTGGCAGGAACTGTTCTCACCAGTTGCAGAATGAGAACTTGAAATCTTTAGGATCTGAGCTCCATTTCTACACCCTCCTGAGGGAGTTCAGCTCCTTTCAGCTGCTAACTCTCCCAGAGACAAGAGGGAGTCCTCTCAGCAGGTACCAGCAGCTTGTAGCCTTCCCTGCCAGCTTCCCCATTGACTTCCTGGGGAAGCCGGCAGAGAAGACTGCAAATAGCAATCATGTAACTGCAGGGTGCTTGGCAACTGATAGTAAGTGCAAACAGGTTGCCAAGGACCCAGATCACATTACGCAGGGGTGGTAATGCCACATTTTCAATGGCCAGCAATGTTTTACAGTCCATATAGCACCCTTTCCATGGCCATTATAATTCCAGATCATAAACAGTCCTAAGTTAAGGATAGCTGTAATTCAAATTTTAAAAAATGCTTATATACTTACTTTATTAACAATAATTATAAAGTGTTCAAATCCTTGAGGACTCTAGGAAATTTATAACAGGAAGACGGAAAAAAGTAATAAAATCACAGTAGAAAATAAAAGACAGATTCCTTTAACAGTTAGGTGGAATAGAGGTTTACTGAAATATCATCTACATAACTTGGTTATAGAACGTAATCAGAATGTTATCAGGTTCGCCTGATTCGCCAGTTGCATCCCCTTCTGGATCGGGACTCCTTACACTCAGGCACTCGTCACCTCCCGCCTGGACTACTGTAATGCTCTCTACATGGGCTCCCCTTGAGGAGCACCCGGAGGCTCCAACTGGTGCAGAATGCGGCCGCGCAGGGAATTATGGGAGCGATGGGGCGCTCCCATGTGACGCCCCTCCTGCGCGAGCTGCACTGGCTCCCGGTGGTCTTCCGGGTGCGCTTCAAGGTGTTGGTTACCACCTTTAAAGCGTTCCATGGCTTAGGGCCTGGGTACTTACGGGACCACCTTCTGCCACCGATAGTCTCCCACTGGCCAGTACGCTCCCACAGAGAGGGACTCCTCAGGGTGCCCTCGGCCAGACAATGTCAGCTGGCGACCCCCAGGGGGAGGGCCTTCTCTGTGGCAGCACCTGTCCTCTGGAACGACCTACCCCCGGAGATACGAAGGATCCCAGATCTCCATGCTTTTCACCATGCCCTTAAAACTTTTTTATTTCATCATGCCGGGCTGGCTTAACACACACACCCTTTAGATATTTTTAATTGTTAATTGATTTTAGTCAGGATGTTTTAAATTTATTGGACCAAAATTTGTTTAATTCTTCTTAAATTTTGAATACGATGTTTTTTATTCTTGGCTGTTCACCGCCCTGAGTCCAGTGGGAGAACGGCGGTATAAAAATCTAATAAAATAAATAAATAAATATGTCGATTTCTGTTCTTCTGGATGGATACTATTCCACAAAAGAAGGCCAACTTTAGAGAACGCCTGTCATCTTGTGCTCAACCCATGAACTTTACAAGGAGAAACTCTACCAGGATTTCTTTAAAACACGACTAGTAAAATCAGTTCCATCACAGTATTTCCTGATAAACCCAGGACTGCATTAGAAGAAAGCACTATAGAGTGAAAGTAACCTAGAATTTATAGGTATTCTGTTTTCCTTACCTGCAGCTCCTTGTGGAGCCTCATCAGCTCGTGCAGCTGAAGAATTAACACCATCCTGATTGTTATCAGGATCAGCCATTTTCTCCTGTCGGCGAGCCTCAGCTGCTCCTCTTTTGCCCAGGCCAGAGCCTCGCCGACTAAAAAACAGGTACAATCAGAAACCTTCTAGATTATGTTTTTAGTTTACAATGGCTTCAAATTAAACCCTATATGCCCTATAGTAGTACTTTTTCACTGTATGTTCAAAAATACTTTAAAAAGCAACTTCAACTATATATAAGAAATATACCATCAATACCACCACATCTTGGCTTAGCTAACTCTAACAATCTAGTTCATGGAAAAATACTTCCATGTTAATGTCCATTTTCAAAATCTATATAGCAAATTAAAGACTTCCTGCAGAAATATAGATACATTTTTTTAAAAAAAACCTCCCACTGAAGTAGGAGCTAGGAGTAAACAAATATTTCAGATGCCACCCCAAAAATCTTTAATGTTCTGTTAAATTATATATTTTTTATTTATTTAAAACATTTCTATAGACGCTCTGGGCAGCTTCCAATCAAAAGCAATTGATTATTTCACCTGCAAATCGACACTACATGTAGTCTTCGGGCTATGATAGCATTTGGGACCAGAACATTTGTTGTTAAGTGATGCAATCATAAAGCGCAATGTCACTTAGTGACAGTAATTCAGGTAGCTGTCGTAACCCCAGGATGGCACAAGTCATTAAGTAGGAAGAGACAGGAGTCCCAGGCTAAGTGCTTAAGAGGATGCATGAGTGCTGCTGGGATGTGTGCAACTGTCACAGGCAGGGACTAGAGCTCAGGAATATGCCATTGTGGATGGGGTGAATGTCACAGATATGTAGTGCTAGTGCGTCGGGGGAGACTGGAGGTTGCCAGTGGAAGCCACATACACAATAGAGTGCAGGCACATTGGCAGCCCGGGGGGTGGGGGATGGGTGTCAGTGGATGCTATGGATCATGGGTGGGCCAGTGGGAGGAGGCACGCATGAGTTTATGGAATGGGGGGATGCTACCGATATTGTACTCCACAGCAGGTCTCCTTGGGAGAAAAAGTGGAAGAAGCAACTTACAGGAGCAACTTGCAACCTCTTCTGCCTGCATCCTCATTGAATTTGCTTATAGTAAGCCAGTAGGGAATTTTACAAATGTGATCACGTAACTGTGGGATGCTGCAACTGTTATATGTGCAAGTTTGTCAAGCACCTGGGTTACGAACAGGTGACTGGGAAATGCTGCAACTGCCAGAAGTTTGTGGACTGGTTAAAATTATCACTTGTTCAGGGCCATTGTAACTTTGAATGATTGCTAAACTAGTAGTCATAACTTCAAAGCTATTTGTAGTTACTGCCAAGAACTATGCAGTTTAAATCATAGCAAATCTATTAAGATTGATTCAAAATATTTCTTCTCAAAAATATTTTATTTTTATTCCTATGTCCCTTAGAAACATCTTCACTGATTTTCCAAATCCACATCATTTAGCTTATTTGATCTGTTACATTTGCCAACCACTCAAGTATCTTCAAGTATATTATTTATCATCTTACCAAACATCACTTTTTCAATGTATAAAGTTATGCATAATATTCAATTTTCTCTATGTTGATTTCAAAGTCTTTCTACCTCCTTGTGGAAGAGATATTTAAATACTCCATCAGCCATATAACTTCTTTGACTAAAGAGTTTTACACTGTTATATTTTATGTTATACTGTCAATATTGTTTTATATTGAGAAAATTAGTACACAGTCTTCTCATACTTTTTTCCCATTACCTATATTTGAATCCTATTCAAATCCTGTCCTCTTGCAGTCACCTCTACTAGTTTTTGAAGTATTTTTTAAGTTCACTATTTTATGCTATTCAATGTGTTTGAAATATGTAGCATGATATTGCTTCTTGAAAGGTTTGTTTAGTTTGTTGACTTATTAAATAACATTATCAAAGCATTCTGGGAAGCTGACAGTTACAAAATCCAAATCACAGCAAGAAAAATAATATTATTTAAACTGCCGCATTAAAAATTGGCAAAAGATCAGCAACCCCAAATTCACCCTCTGTTCTTAAAAGTTCATCAGAAAAATCTATTCCTAACAAACTTCCAAAAGATTAAAAGAGAGAAACAACTAACCTAGCTATTTCAGAAGGATAGAGCAATCGCCTTATTTATGTTTAAATATTGTATAAAGTTCTGCACAACTAACTGACAACTTCAGGACTTTTACTTAAACTTCATTTTTAGTTTTTAACTAAAGTTTAAAAACTAAGTTTTTAACATATATGCTTGTACAACCTATACTTATACAATAGATAATTACTCTCCTAGAAATGATCTGGTTTAAATAAACAGTTCCTACAGAATGTATTTTTGAAAGGGAAATTCATGTAATTGTTGAATGGCCCAATTCAAATGCTTGTATGTCAGCAATATAAATTGAGTTATAACTTAACCTTGTTACAATCTGCTTTCCTTCTTGATGTGTCTTGAATTAGGTATTATTTCTTTTAAATCCCAAACTATGAAATGTTAAACTACAGTGTAAGATCCTGTTTTAACTGAAATTTAACTATCTGAAATCTGATAGTTTCTGGGTTAAATGTAATGGGAAACAATAGTTTAAGATGTGCTGTATCTCAGAGTGTTTCAAAATGAGCCTGGTGGAACAGAAAGAGGATGGCAAAAATGTGGAATAGGTTCACATGTACCTCAAATGATTAAGGAAGTTGTTTGAACTGGATATAGTTATCATATTTAAAATCAGCAAAGTATTTAGTGTGGACTTGCTAATTTAGTATAGTACTGAGAACAATTACTTATTTCAAACTGTGATTTTATGTTATAGTATTTCTCAAATCATTAAATTTGTCAAATTAAACATACTATCTATCAGGCACACAAATATAAACTGTCCATTATGTTCATTCAAATTCTTTATAAGCTTTTCCCAAATGCAATTTCTTCAACTATTTTAAAGTGTTAGTAATTTTATATCACATTATACCTGGTACTAGCACAGGAGCCCGTGGTCTTTTGCCGTGTGCTCCGCCTCAAACTGGGGAGCTCAGCAGGTGGTGATTCACTGCGCTTTTTTGTAGCTTTTCTCAAGCCTAAACAAATAGAAGATGGGTAATAATGACAGCTTATATTTCTTCACAAGTTTCCCAACATGAAATGTTCCCATTACGCTCCTCGCACTTTTTACTCATGCCACCATGAAAGAGAACTTCTACAAAGTTGATTTAAGAAAAACAAAAATATGGTAAGGTTAAAATTGTATTTATTTTATAAATACACTATACATTATACTATTACTGTGTTCATTTATTTACATGATATTAGAAAAGCTTTTCAATATTCTCACCAGTAAAAAAAAAAATAACCTGGTATTTCTTAGATTTATATTCTGACTTTCCTCTATGCCTATCTTTTTTCTCTATAAATACAATTTTGTCAGATTTATTGGCCTAAGAATGATTAACCCACTGAACTACCATGACTGACTTGAACTTTATCAATTCTTTCTTAACTTTTATCACATACAACTGCATGTCCCATGGTATGTACAACTTCATGCTATGATTTATAGAAGCCCATAACATACTTAATGCGGAGGACAGGGGGAAAAAAATTCAATCAACTATTTTATTTCAATCTATTGAACGGTATACACAAACCATTTTGACTTTGAAATGCCTTGTTTAAAATTATGATTTTCAAATTTGAAACAACATATTTCAATCTAATTTCATTTCAAAACAGTGCTGTTCTGTGCCCAGGAAACTTTTGGAAACTAGTTCAATATCAAAATATTTGACAATATTACATGGAATACCTTGTATGAAATGAAAAACCACGAAATAATCTCTCATATCAAAAAATATGTCCATATATGAACATTTTGATATATCACACTAGTTAAAGAAATTGCTTTCTAATGTCAACAACCTAACTATTCTGCAGTGGAGAATGGATGTATAGAGAGAATCATCAAAATATGATGGGATACAAGAAATTCAAACAGGGATTAATTTTCAATCATTGCTGAAGCTAAAATACTTTTTACATGAAATTAGAAAGTGGAGTGGCTTGATTTTTTTAGAAAGTCATAAATATCTGCACAAAATGAAAGGAACTAAATCCTTTATATCTCAATAACTAGTATGACTTAAGCTATAATTTTTTTTCCAAAATTTAATTGAAGGAAGTTTCTTGAAACTATGGAAAATAATAAAGAAAGTGCTGACAGACTTTAGGATACTCCCATATGCATGATCGTAGAAAGAAAAAATCTTTCTTCTCCTGGAGAGAATACGGGGACATGAGTGATACCTTTTCTTTTATGAGTGGAAAGTGGAACATCAGAATTAAAAATAGTTTATACTAACTAATGCCATCTCATTTAATTTTCTTTTAATTTGCAGGGGGGGAGGCAAAATACTGGGAAAGGAGAAAGAGTATTTTTACTATATTATTATACACTATATTATATACTGATATTATTTCTGTACAAGTTAAACATGTCAAATTATAAATTTTTAGCACTGATCAAAGAAGAAAAACGAAGTCAAGGACCTGTTTATGGGTTTATTTAAATTTATTTAAATCAGTGTAGTACTGCATGATTCATAGCTAGGACTGTGCAATGCTTTGAATTCAATTTCTAAAGGATGCTTCGAAATGCAATGGAGCATTAATGCAACGTTTATCTATATATGACTCTTTTTTCCAAAGATGCATGGTTACTCCCATGCATCTATCACATAATCCCAAGAAAGTCCTGGTTCTTTTACAATTTATAGGATATGGTATCATATTTGCTTTGTTGGATGATAAGGCGTATCTTTTGTGGGTTAAACTAAAGCACTATACAATGCTAGGTAAACTACTTACTATGGCTACTAATGAATCCATTTAAGGCAAGAGAAAGGGAGCTGAGTTACTACACTGAAATCTGAGAAAAAACAAGGTGGTCACAGAATTTTCACCAAGCTGCAGAGTGTCCAATGCCACCACCACGAACGCCGGCCCCAAGACAGTTGGTGACTGGGGAAAAAGCCAGGGAATGGCTCTGCCCGACTCCGGAATGATCTCAGGTAGCGACGCAGACGCTTCCCACCAATGCCCATACACCAACCAAGAGGTCGGGAGCCCACCAAGTACTGGACGATTACCAGTTGTGTCCGGTGACAGCGACAACAAGGACCCGAATGACCCGATGGTAAGTGACCCTGTTCGTCCCTTCATGGTCCCAGTAACCGTTCAGAATTCACACACATCCCAGGGGTTAGGCAGGGGTCTTTAACTGACTCGGGCTGCACCCGATGCTTAATGCACTATGCTGTGGTCGATGAATTGGTGTTTCGCATGACAAGGCTGCGTCAGCCCATTAAGTTTCAACAAATGGATGGTTCCACACTTGGCGGAGTACCTGCTACCCATGTCACTGAGCCAGGTAGGTTAGAAATGGGAAAGTACTGGGAAAACATCAGGTTTATTGTAGTGGAAAGATGATTGAACCTATCATTTTAGGATTAGCCTAGCTGGATAAACTACCAGAACTAACCATTTGGTGGGAACAGGAGTTCCAGAAACTAAGGATGGCACTTGGTCCTGAGCCACCAATCCGGAGTCAGGTGAAAGGGAGAACAGGAGCGGAGGATGGTGTACAGCAGGAACAGGCACTCATGGATGGGTGGTTCCCAAGTACATTCGGGGATTTGGAAGACATCTTTAGTGAGGAAGAGTGTGAGGTCCTACCACCTCACCGCTCGACACACTGTGGCATCGAGTTGATACCAGGAGCCAAACTGCCAAAGCCCCGTATGTACTCGATGATACCGAAGGAACTCGAGGAGTTAAGACGCTACATAGATAGGAACCTGGCCAGGGGGTTCATTTGGCCCAGCAGGTCCCGCATGGCCGTGCTAGTCCTGTTCGAAGAGAAAAAGGACAGTGGTCTACGCCTGTGTGTAGACATCCGTGGACTAAACGAAGTGTGTGTGGAGCATCTATACCCATTACACTAATGAAAGATCTACTTGCCATCTTACGACGGGCCGGTTTTTCACTAAGCTCGACATTTAGCCTATTACCGGGTGCATATCCGACCGGGTATGAATGGAAGACAACGTTCAATTGTTCCCTGGGGAGCTATCAGTTGCAAGTGATGCCATTCGGGTTGCAGGGAACCCCGGCCATATTCATGCAGTTGATAAATGAGGTCCTGCATGAGTATCTGTACAGGGGATATTTATATACCTGGATTACATCCTAATTTATACCAAAATGATGGAGGAACACTCCTGGTTAGTACACCAGTTGTTGCAAAAGCTGCTGGCCGCCAAACTGTTCACAAAGCTCTGTAAGTGCAAGTTTCACCAAACAGAGTTGGATTATTTGGGTTACCGAATATCTGGTGCGGGGGTGAAGATGGATCCTCAGAAGGTCAGGGCGATGTTGGAGTAGCAAGCCCCGAGAACAAAAAAACAGTTGCAGTTTCCTCGGGTTTGCAACTTCTACAGGCAGTTTATTCCATCATTTGCTCAGGTGGCGATGCCCCTGACAGACTTACTGCGTACCAAACCCACCACGACAAAACCATGCCCGGGACAAGCGTTGACGTGGACGACTGCATGTCAGCGAGCATTCGAAGAGCTAAAAGTGCTCTTTGCCCATGAACCAGTCCTAAAATACCCCGATCCAACATTGCCCTTTATAGTGCAGGCAGATGCAAGTGATGTAACTGCGGGAGCGGTCCTGTTACAAAAGAACAAGTAGGTTCCAGCCTTGTGCTTACACATCCCGGAAGCTCACGCCCACAGAACGAGGCTGAGTGATATGGGAGGAGGCCTTGGCAGTACGATGGGCACTCCTCACATGGCGACATCTACTCGAGGGCGCAGGGACGCCGTTTGAGATATGGACCAACCACAAAATTTGGAAGCCCTCCAGACACCCCGGAAGTTGTTTCCAAAACAAGTGCGCTGGGCACAGTACTTTCAATGGTTTACATTTACACAAGTACGTGCCAGCTGGGAATAATTTTCTAGCCGACGTCTTGTCCTGTATGCCCCAGTACAACAGCAAATGGGAAGAGGTGATACAAGCCATAATACCACTTAGGCAGTCAGTAGGACAGATAAAAGGCAATGAGCCAGTAAACCCTTGGCACGCCGAACTACGCAAAGCCTTGTCAACTGACTCTTGGCTAGTGGACAATAAAACGTTATTAAACCACAGGGAGGGCCTTGCCTGGAAGGAAGATAAGCAGTATGTTCCCACTGGCCTTCGGCTTCCAGTGTTAAAGAGATGCCATAACAGTAAACCAGCCGGTCACTTCAGTTTCCTTAAAACATTACACCTGACAAGATGACAATTCTAGTGGCCATGGATGCCAATGGACATTGAGGCTTGTGTAAAGAGTTGTCCAGTCTGAGCATTAACCAAGCCACGGCTGGGTAAACCTCTTGGCTTGTTACAATCTGTAGCTAAGATTGGTCAGCCATGGGATGAAATCGCCATGGATTTCATCGTCAACCTCCCGGATAGCAGCAGTCATACAGTGATATGGACTGTGATAGATTTATTTTCAAAACAAGCACACTTTGTACAGTGCAGCGGTATACTATCGGCACAGCAGTTAGAGAAATTGTTTTTTCAACACATCTACCGCCTGCACGGGGTACCCCTTTGCATTATCTCGGATGGGGGGTAAAGTTTACCACCAGGTTCTGGCGGAACTTCATCCTACTAATAGGATCATCACAGGGATTAAGTTCAGCCTTCCACCCTAGCATCAATGGAACAGCCAAGAGGACCAATGCTATGGTGGAACGCTACCTGAGATGTTACGTTTCCTCCAGGCAATCAGACTGGGCAGGCCTTCTACCATTCGCCGAAGTAGCATACAATAACACGGTACACCACAGTACTGGTCTCACTCCCTTCCAGATAGTGTCTGAGAGAGAATTTTCTGCTATTCCAGCTTAACCCCCAAAACCCAGTGACCCTGAATAAGTCGGCTGATAAGATCCGGGAAGTCTGGCCCCAAGTCAAACTAGCATTACAGAGAGCCACAGAGGAGTATAAACAGCAGGCAGATAAAAGAAAGGCAGACCAGAAACCGTTCCAAGTGGGGGATCGGGTATACCTGTCCACTAAGTAACTAAAGATAAGGACACCCAGTAAGAAATTGGGTCCCAAATACCTAGGACATTTTACAGTGACCCGGATTATCAACCCCACAGCGCTGGCCCTGAAACTACAACCCCTATTAGACAAAATCCATCCTGTGTTCCATCATAGTCTGCTAAAACCAGTGGAGGCCACTAGGGCTCCCACTGAACCCCCTGGGCCCGGGGCTAATGACCACTACGAGATAGACGAGAACCTTGACTCCAAACTCTCTAGAGGAAAAGTACGATATTTAGTACATTGGAAAGAGTACCCTTACATGGAGGCTTCATGGGTGGCGGAACATAACATCAATGCCACACGGCTGTTATGACAGTTCCTTCACAAGTACCCACACAAGGGGGGGGGGGGGCGGCAGTGGTCAGTCAGGCAACACAAACCTCTCTGCTTTGTCTCTTGCAGGTGGACTCCTGGTAGAGGGGGGCCGCCCTTCGAGCTCCAGTCCAGGGCTCGACACACGAATAGGGGAAGTACACACAAACCTGGAGGGAAGTTAGAGCAGCTGAGGCGAAGCACACAGAGGCTGACATGAGCATGGATGATGGTGGCGAAACACAGGGCGGTGGGTGGATGGGCAAACGGCGACAGCAGGGCCATATTCGCGGTCCGGCTTCCTGGCAATGGTGGATGATGTCACGGCAGTCGGCACACAGGAGAGAGCCGGGCAACCCGTTTGAACCGAGCCACCAAACAGCTGAGAGGGGGCCTGATGCAACCGCCGAATGCTTGTTTGATATGGGGTGGTACAAGCTGTTAAAAGGCGCTGAGAGGCAGAAGCTCTCAGTGCCAACTTTACATCATTGTGACTCAGCGTGGACTAAGAACCGGCTTGTAGCAGCAATAAAAATTACATCAAACCAGCACAGGCCTGGTTTAGCTGGACCGAGACTCTGATTTTAATCTTATTTTTTTCTGAAGAAAATTAATAAACAAATTTTAGAAATCATTTTGAAGAATTATCTGTTGGAATATCTGTTTAGAAAAGTTACTTTTTTCTAAAAAATTTAGTCTAAATACTCTTTACCCCTCTTCAGATATTAAAATTCTTCTGATTGGGTAAAAGGACTATGTCTTGCTGTGCTCCCTTCATCCTATCGTCCCTATCAACACAGGACAGACAATAAGCTACCTTGACTTGAATATCTGCTACTTAAGTAGTTCTTCATAATCTTCCCCTAGAATTTGCTACAAAATGATGAACAATTTGGGTTTTTATTTAAAAAAAATAGAACATTTCATAGAGGTTAAAGTTGTCAGTCTTTTAACTGTTAATAACTCTATTTATCACAAACAGAATCAAAAGGATAATACTTTTCAAAACTAATTTCTGGAAAACAGAAGTATTAGTTCATATTCTGTGGATTTCCTAGATGCAGCTGACTGATTTTCTCAAAACAGTATAGGCAATTTTTCTTAGGACAGATAATATGCAGAATCAGAGTACTGGATTTGTTTCAATTCAGAAGCAGCCTTATGGTATTTTAGCCTTTCTAAACTCATTTGGAAATGTTAGAAATATAATAAATTTTATGTGAATTAAACTGCATATAGATTTAATTTGAATTAATTCTAGGTTTAAAAAACTATTTAGTTCAAACTATATCTAACATGAAATGATCCAGAAAATGAGTTATTCAAATATATATATTTAAAATGGGCATTACACTGTAGTGCTCTAGACTCTAGACTAAAACAATTATTCATGTTCTACACTAAATCCAATATATACAGTTTCAGAGAGCAAGAATTATAAATATGAATCACTGTATCCTGAATTTTACTGAACAAATTATTTTTAGACATTAAACATCAAACATGTACCCACACATGTAGTAGTATATAGACTGGAGTGATAAAATCAGAGATTTTTTAAACTTCACAATTGTCTTCCTTAAACTAAATATTTACTGCAAAAGTATGCATTGTTTTCTTGTAGCACATGGTAGATATGTAGCACATGGTAGATATTCATAAATCATATGAATTGCAAAAGTTAGAAATCTACTGGAAAAACAGTATATGTTAGTTGATAATTTAAGTATCAAAGAGAGACTCTGAACAGAATCCGTATTCTGATCCAAATTCGTATTTAGATACAATCATTACATTTGGTAACCCTTGTCCAAGTTGATACCTTTCCCTCTCTCTTTGCCACACAGGATTGTGAATAAATAATTCCTACTCTTGTTTGGAAGATACAATTTAAGAAATAAGAAAAATGGACTAATTCAACATAAAATATGCTAGTAAACCAGATAACTTGAAATATAGGCAAGATATATAAAAACTAGAGGGCACTGGAAAGTTACATCTTTCCTAGTCCACTATAAGCACAGAACTTAAAAGTACAAAGACATACCCTATTGGAATAGAGATCAAGAGTAAGAACTGATGTCTCTTTGCACCTGAAATACACACTCCCTGCCTAGAGCCCCCAACAGCCCTTTCTTTAATTTACTAATCATCCAGTGATTATGTATGGTAAATTACCTTTCATATGACTTATTGTAGATCTTACTAAATTATTACAATAGCTATATTACAATAATAATAGTAATAGTAATAATAAAAATAATACAAATTCCAAGACCTCACAGAAATGAAAACATTTTCAACAACTCACTTGCTAGTTTAGCCTGTAATCCTGAAGGCCCAGGTTTTGATGCCTCTGGTTTAGAAGACCCCGGTAGAGAAAGTTTTGTTTTAGGCAAGCTAACCTTGGGGCTAAAACGAGCAGCCCAATCAAACTTTGAAGAGCCACCTATTTTATTTTGTTCTTTATCCCTGCTACTCCTCCGTGGGCTAGGGCTGGATGCAGATCTGGAGCGCCTGGCCTTGCTCTGGTCTTTTCCCTGTTTGACTCTAGCACCCTGAGAAACAGCAGAAGATGCAGAAGCAACAACAGAGGAGGAGGAAGATGTAGAGGCTGAAGAGGAGGAATCTGTGATGGTACTGCACCCAGCTTTGGCTGAGCTCACTGATTTTGAAGCCAGCTTGGTGGGTTTTGCTGGTCTCTCTTCACTGCCAGTTGATTCAGTTGCTGAACGACTCTTTACAATAGGTAAGGTTTCTGTCCTTTTCCGTTTCTGGCTTCTGGAGCTAACGGTAGCTCCACCCTTTCTGGTGTGAGCTTTACTGGTTGATGGCAATTGTGAAGACTTTGACTCTTGCTCTTGATGCAAATGTCTTTTCTTAGACTTAGTCTGAGATTTATTTCTTTCCAAGTCCGAAGAAGAATCAGCGTGCTGAAGTGCTTTGGTTTTTTTGGCAGGGCTAGGAGAATTTGTCTGGTTGTAATCTGGGCTAGCACTGCGTTTCACTCCTCGAGAACTGTCTCTTTTAGGCACCTGCCCGGATTTTTGATGCTCTAAAGTACTGTCTGTGTCCAGAGCCTCTTGTTGTGGAATTATAATAGCAGATGAGCTACAGCCTCTGAGAAGGTAAACATAAATTCAATATTACTACTCAGCAAAGAAAATAATATTTTTAAAACCTTCAGAAATCACCTGGCTATTTAGTTTGTACTTTTCAAAGAAATGTGGCTGAACAGTTACTACTCTACCTCTACATAAGAACAAAGAAGCAGGGCAAAGCTTTGAGTCAAATCATAATAATCAACTAATCAACATGTTAGTTATTAACTAACATGACTCCCAAATCATGAATTATATTTACCATGTTTCCCTGAAAATACGACATGTCCTGAAAATAAGGCCAAGCCTGATTTTTGGGGTGGGCGTGAATATACGCCCTCCCCCGAAAATAAGCCCTAGTAAAGGGTTTGGCATGGGCAGCACAGAAAGCAGCCCTTCCGTTCCCTGGTCAGCTAATGGCAGCTGGGCTCCTTAATGGCAACCTGCAGATCAGCTGAGCTGATCGGGAGCTGCCCCAGCGTTCTTGGCGCTCACCTGTCTCTCATCCATCCATCCATCCCCCTCTCTTGAAAACTCCCACCCTGCTTGATGGCCACCCAACGGACACCTCCCCCCTCTGGCCAGGCAGAGCGCCCCTCACTGACCGAGCGGTATCCCAGGATCACGATATGGGCGAAGCCGGTGAGCACCAGGTCCTTGAAGAGTCTGTGCCACCGCCATCCCAGGACTGAGCCTGGCTTCCTCTGTGACTTCTAAACCCCGGCTGGAAGCCGCTGGAAGTGGAGAAGAGGCCGGTCGGGTCAGCTGCCTGCTGCCAAGTCTTCGGGAGCCGGGGCAGAAAGTCTTCTGGCAGCCAGAGCAGCCACATGGACCTCAAATCGTAGAGCAGGAAGTCCGCTCTATGGTTCTAGGTCCATGCGGCTGCTCTGGCTCCCGAAAGATTCAGCAGCAGGCGGCTGGCCTGACCAGCCTCCGCATCCAGCCGAGGTTTGGAAGCCGCAGAGAAAGCCATCTTCAGTGCTGGGATGGCAGCGGCGCGGACTTCACCCTTCGCCACCTCTCTGCCCCAGCTCCCAAAGACTCTGCAGCAGGCGGCTGGCCTGACTGGCCTCTTCTCCACTTCCAGCGGCTTCCAGCCGGGGTTTCGAAGTCACAGAGGAAGCCAGCCTCAGTGCTGGAATGGTGGCAGCACGGACTCCTCAAGGACCTGGTGCTCACCGGCTTCGCCCACATCGTGATCCTGGGATACTGCTTGGTTGGTGAGTGGTGCTCTGCCTGGCCGGAGGAGAGGTGTCCGCTGGGTGGGCACCAAGTGGCAAGATATGCCGGGCAGCTGCTTTCTTCCAAGCAGGCTCCTGAAGACCCAGGCAGCAGCACAACACAGCAGCAACCATAAGCACCCCCAAAATAATAAGACCCCCGATAATAAGGCCAAGCCCTTATTTTGGGGTTCAAAAGAAAATAAGACCCCGTCTTATTTTCGGGGAAATATGGTAAATAATTTTTTAAAGTTAATATTTAGTATATTTCAACTGGGAGTAATAGATCAGTTATAATAAATGCATTATATGAAGAAACAGTAGCAACTATGATTCTGGAGTCTGTAATATACCCACAGATAGTTTATTGGATACTTAGAAGTTCTTTTGCCCAACTTGGCTTGAAAAAAAAGATTACAAAAAGAAATAGAAAGCTGGCACACTACAATATGGCTACCTTCAGCTTTATATTTATTTTCAAAAATGACAGATTATACATGACCTCTAAACATTGAAAATAAAATTAGTGAATTAGTGGGCCCTATGATCCAGTATTTGAAGAGATTCAGAATTCATTGGTTGCCATTTCTCATAAAGGCTGGGAACAAACTAGCAAAGATATAGAAATTCTTTATTTCAGGAGTGTTCGATAGCAATAGCAGCTCTTTGGTGGAATTTGACACTGATTATTGAATATGTTTGTCTCTAGTTGGCAGGAAACCATGTTGAACCTGCAGGTGTGATATAAGTAATTTATTTTTGCATTTAAAGCATTTCTGCCCCCCAAAAGTGGAATTGTGCCTTGGCCTGTAATCCCATTCAAAGTTGCTGTACTTTTTCCCTCATTTACTACATAGACATTTTTAACTTTCTAGCCCAGTGTTTCTCAGCAACTTTAAGGTACATAGACATCAGATCCCAGAATTCCCCAGCCAGTATTGTCGAGAAACAATGTTCTTGCCTAATGAATATATGTAAGTTAAGACCATGTTTGGGGTATTTTTATAAAATAACTGTGATACAGATAGCTGATCACAAAATATGATTGAATTTATTTCCATTCCCCTTCTTTTCTCATAACTTTTGACTTCTAAAGAACAGGTGTTTTCAACACAGTGAAGTTTCCTTGCTTCACATCTGATGTTCTTATATCAGGGCTTTGTAATGCTTCATTGGGAACTACATTGAGTTTCAAAGTGAAAATTGCCAATACTGAACAAAATTAAAGATGCTAAAGCATTCAATGAAACAATCTGATTCCATATTACTTAGACAACTGAACTGTTATTCTACTAGATTAAGAGGACTCCATTAAATATCCAAAATAGGAAATTTAAAAAATCAAAATACACTGATCACCTATTCATCTTTTGAAATGAATAAAACAGGTTATGATTCAGACAGCCCAGCTGAATTCAGAAGGGCTTCATAAACCTTGAAAATGATTCAGAAAGAGTGCTTTTGACTTTGCATGAGCACATTGTTTTTCTATTACTAATTACAGCAAGCAATTTCAGAAGAACACAAAGATATGTTGTTCCTTTAAGGAAAAAAATAATTAAGTAGTGTCTGTTTAATATGACTCTTAAAGCCATTTCATCTTTTTCTTTCCATGGAAGATTTAAAAAAGACTTGCATACTTTAGCAAATAGCAGAGAAGTGCTACGTTTGCACAAAGCTAAATTAGTCATTCTCCCAAATTATTTCTGAACAGAGTATAACTCTAATCTTTAATAAACAAGTTTATTAAAACACCAATCAACCATAAATAATATTTATTTATTCTCTTTCTTGTAGTCTAAAACAGATTTACAAGTACACTGCTTTTGTATCACTCAAACGGACACCTCTCATTCTGCTGATATCAGGCTTGTCAAACTTTCATCATCACATACTTATGTTTCAAATCTGAATGTCTGAAATTGAAAGTTTTTCCTTTAACTCAAATCAGGTAAAAGTTATTTAGAAGTTTCTAAGAAATTAGCATGTTTGCAACACATTCCACTGAAGTTACATTAGTGAATTCATAAATATAAAGCTATTACCTTTTAGAAAAGTGTCCTTTGGACTGTTCAGTAGTAGTATTGGACTGCACTTTGGGTGCCTTTGATATAGATTTTCTACTTTCAGAAGGGCTACGTGCCTTATGTTTTGCCTGCCCTAAATGTGACCTGTCAGCAGAAAAACAGAAAGCTATGAAGAACACTGGGACGCAAACATAAACATGCATAAGGAGCAATTTATACACTGAATTTATAACACAGTTTCTCATTAAGTTGCATAACATGTTTCAGGAATAGTGCTACTAGCTAAGCTTTAGAACTCCTTATGAACTCCTGTACCTGAAATTATGTTTAAAATATTAGGTTTTCTTTTGATGTTCTGTTCTTCCCATTGTTCCAATATTTTACATTAAATAAAGTTTTAGAAACAGTAAGCTATTCAAAAGCTTCTATTTTCCTTTATTCTCAATATTTACCTATTCTCATTGAGTGTGGGGCCAGCGGTCAGGAACGGGTTAACTCCTGTCTGATCTAGATGGATCGAGTCTGAAAGTTGAGAAGCTCCTCCTCTTTCTTTAGCTCCCCAGCTTTCAGACTTGGTCTGATTTGGATCAGACACACCTTTCTGAGCTGCCATAAGTTTTGACCGTTGGCACCAAGCAATTTGACTGCTTTTGCATCTTGGCTCCCTATTTTAGGTTGAGCACTTCCAGCGAGAAAGGCTTTGCGCCAAGATGAAATGATGTAATTGATGTAACTGTCACAGAGGTGTTTAATTTGACAATATCATACTACGAATTATATTTCTACTTGAACCTAGCACACAATTTAAGGATTTGATCAGCAATAAAATCCATGGAATATGGATAGGCAAGTTTATGTGAAATCTAGCAAAAGAATGAAAGTTATAAATAATGAAAGCAAATAGAAGAAATGTAGGTGGGGATCGGAAGTGCTATTGTCACATCCAGGATATCATTGTAAATTTGAATGGTCACTAAACAGGACAGTTGCTAACTATATGTAGAGGGTGAAGGCATGAAAGAGCATCTAATTCAGTAACCTCCCCAACCATGCCCATACTTCATAACCCCAAATGCCATTTACTTTTATTTATTTAAATCAATTCCTTACCATTTCCGTTTAAAACAACATTCAAAGCAATTTACTATTATAAATCACATATAAATCTAAATTAACACATTTATAAATACAATGCAAAACACAAAATAAAGTAATAAGCAAAAAAAATCAGAAAACAAAAGCATTAATAGTTTTATGATAGCAGCATTTGTACATTATTAAGAGGCCTGGAAGGCTAAAAATGTATTTACCTGACACACATACACACACACCCTGAAAAGATGCCTAGCATACCTCACTGAAAAAAAATCTCTCCTAAATAGGGGAGAAGAGAGTACTTTTAAAAAAGACCCTCCTCAGGCAGCCAACACACCTCAGGGTGGCAGAGCACCTGGAACAAGTTCTTCAGAAATCAACTCAGGATACGGTTTGAAAGAAATGTTCCTTCACATACTACAGCCCCAAACCATTAAAAAAAAATCCCATAGGTTAAAACGAGTATCTGGACCTAGATGGTGTATTTCATTGTGAATGAGCTTAGTTTAAAGTAAACTATAATGGTAACTCATGGACTTGAAAACATGTAGCTTCCTGTAAAACGTAAAAGAGTATATTTTAAGTAATGAATATATTTTGTTTCACTTTAATTATATCTTAGACTTTTCATACAGAAGTCAGGTGTCCACAGATATAGTCAAGACACGACCTTGAGGGCAAATAATAAGGAAACCATATAAAACATAGAACTATCTGTAACCTGCATGGCAAGGAATTTTCTTCCCGGAAACCTTTCTTCTCACCTTCTTCCAGAGATGATCTCATTTCCTCTCCTTACACTGTTCTTAGGACAGTTTACAGCTCCCAAACCAATTTCTACATTTAAACTTCCTCAAACATCATCTCTTCAACAATATAACAAGAGGTGGTATATCAACTACACAAATCTGGGTAACCACATGATAGCACTGAAGAGATTTTTTAAAATCTCTTTTCATTGCTGCTACATAGTGGGCAGAATTACATATAACTAAAAATTCAATTAATTGGTAGTACAACAAAAAGAGTAAAGGTAGAGCTGAGGATTTTGGGCAATATCTGCATGATAAAATCGCTTAGATTCGGCACGGCCTGGACTCTGATTGGATAGTTTCGGACGGGATGACGGAGGCGAGTCTTGAGACTGTTATCTGGGAGGAGTTTGACCCTGTGACTCCTGAGGACATGGACAGGATTTTGGGGAGGCTTAACACTACCACATGTTTACTGGACCCGTGTCCCTCCTGGTTGGTACTAGCCTCCCGGGAGGTTACACGAGGCTGGTTTCAGAAGATTACCAACGGTTCGCTGTGTGAAGGTGTCTTCCCAGCCGCCCTGAAAGAGGCAGTAGTGAGGCCCCTCCTCAAGAAGCCTTCCCTGGACCTGGCTGTTTTAGCTAATTATCGTCCTGTCTCCAACCTTTGCTTCGCGGCGAAGGTTGCAAGAGTGTGGTGGCGAGACAACTTCCTCGATTCCTGGATGAAGCTGTCTATCTAGATCCATGCCAGTCGAGCTTCAGGGCGGGTTACAGCACGGAAACAGCATTGATCGCATTGGTTGATGATCTCTGGAGGGCTCGGGACAGGGGTTGCTCCTCTGTCCTGGTCCTCCTAGACCTCTCAGAAGCTTTTGATACCATCGATCATGGTATCATGCTGCGTCGGCTAGAGGGGTTGGGAGTGGGGGGCACCGTTTTAGGGTGGTTCTTCTCCTTCCTCTCTGACTGCACGCAGTCTGTGTTGACGGGAGGGCAGAGGTCGACCTCAAGGTCCCTCACTTGTGGGGTGCCGCAGGGATCGGTTCTCTCACCCCTCCTGTTTAACATTATGTGAAGCCGCTGGGCGAGATCATCCGTGGCTTTGGGGTGAAGTGTCAACACAGTTGTACATTTCAACGCCAGGCCACCCCAATGATGCCCTTGACGTGATGTCCCGTTGCCTGGAGGCCGTGCGGATCTGGATGGGGAGGAACAGGCTCAGACTCAACCCCTCCAAGACTGAGTGGCTGTGGTTTCCGGTGTCCTGATATAGCCAGCTAACACCATTGCCGGCTTTTGGGGATAAGATCTTACCCCCCTCAGAGAGGGCTCGCAACTTGGGCGTCCTCCTGGACTCACGGCTGTCTTTGGATGATCATATGACGGCCATGGCCAGGGGTGCTTTTTATCAGGTTCGCCTGATTTCCCAATTGTGCCCCTTTTTGGATTGGGACGCCTTGCGCACAGTCACTCACACCCTCGTCACTTCCCGTCTGGACTATTGTAACGCTCTCTACATGGGGCTCCCCTTGAGGAGCACCTGGAAGCTCCAACTGGTCCAGAATGCGGCCGCGCGAGTAATAATGGGGGCGACCCATCGCTCCCATGTAACACCTCTCTTGCACGAGCTGCACTGGCTCCCAGTGGTCTTCCGGCTGCGCTTCAAGGTGTTGGTTACCACCTTTAAAGCGCTCCATGGCTTAGGACCTGGCTATCTACAAGACCGCATTCTGGCACCGATTGCCTCCCACCGACCGGTACGCTCACACAGAAAGGGCCTCCTCAGGGTGCCGTCACTCAAACAATGTAGACTGGCGACCCCCGGGGGAGAGCCTTCTCTGTGGGGGCCCCTGCCCTCTGGAATGAATTGCCCCCGGACATACGAAGGATCCACGACCTCCGCGCCTTCTGTCGTGCAGTGAAGACCCTGTTATTCCAGCAAGCCGCTCTGATGGGATAAATGGTTTTAATTTGGTTTTAATGGGGTTTAAAACTGGTTTTAAATGAGAATTTTAAATTCAGCCTATGATTTAATTATTTTAATCTGCTTTTAAATTCTATTTTGTACACTGTTTTATTATGGCTGTTCAGCACTCTTGAGTCCTTCGGGAGAAGGGTGGTATATAAATTAAATAAAAAGAAAAAAGAAACAAAAACATTGTAATGCCTGGAACGACCAAAACATTGTACTTGCTAACTGAAGGCAGAATTTTAAATGGTGAGTCCTTAGATTGTTGCACATTAAAGCTACATAAACAGCATGGAACCATTCCAGCTGGGCAGTAAGGATATGTTGTGGGTACATCAAGAGGCAGAATTTCCCGCTAGTTTCAGAATGGGAGGAATATGGTATGGATGTGGATGTTGCCTAAGACAGTAAATAAATGAGTATTCATTTTCTTAAAAGATAATAGTATTTAAAAAGTCACCACACAGTTTGCTTTGGAAGAGGCAGAAATCTTTATAATCTTGAAAGGAAAAGATCTGATAGACCTTCAACTCAACTTGACAAATGCTAAGTGTGTTTACAATGATATGCAATAAAGATGTTTCGAATATGCTTATTTATGTTATGATTTATGTTTTTACACAGGCTGTACTACAGTAAATTACTAAAAAAAAAAACCATGAAATTAATGTAATAACTTCCTCCAAAAATTGGGAGTCTATGCTATGGAGACTGTTTCTCCTTCAAGAGGCTTTTGTCAACCAAAGCACAAATATGAATCTGACCTACATCATTTTAAATTATTCTTCAGAATTATTTTCCATTTAAAATATTTTTACTTGTCCTCTTCCACATCCAATTTTATTCCAGCACTTCATGAATGGAACTGTTTTGTTATAAATTTGAAAATAATTGGTGTGGTTAAATTAGAACATTTTTAAAAACTGCATAAATGCTATTTTATAATGCTCAAAAAGAGTGCTGCTAGACAAGACAGGCAGCACACAAATCAATCAATCAATCAATCAAATATATACATACATGCCGGTACATACATACATACATATGATAAGTTATTCTGGAGTTTAAGATACTAAAAAAAGATATAAAAAGATATGAGGCAATTAAAAAAGCCTAGTTTAATGAAAAGAAGGACTGGGGGAGATATGATAGCAGTATTCCAATATCTCAGGGGCTGCCACAAAGAAGAGGGAGTCAAGCTATTCTCCAAAGCAGGGGTAGGCAAACTTGGCTCTTTTACACCTTGTGGACTTCAACTCCCAGAATTCCTGAGTCAGCCAAGCTGTTTTAGGAATTCTGGGAGTTGAAGTCCACAGGGTGTAAAAGAACCAAGTTTGCCTACCCCTGCTCCAAAGCACCTGAAGGTAGGACAAGAAGCAATGGGTGGAAACTAATCAAGGAGAGAAGCAACTTAGAACTAAGGAGAAATTTCCTGACAGTTAGAATAATTGATCCGTGGAACAACTTGCCTCCAGAAGTTGTGAATGTTCCAACACCGGAAGTTTTTAAGATGTTGAATAACCATTTATCTGAAGTGGTATAGGGCAGGGGTGGGTTCTACTTAACTTTACTACCGGTTCGCAACGGGAGCGCTCACGCAAGTTTCTGCGCATGCAGAGATCGTCAATGGTGGATGACATCCTGGTGGATGGGCGGAGCCTCCTGCCACTTTTACTACATTGTGCCATGTGGGACTGGAAGTGGGCACCCCAGCCAAAGAGGCTGGCATCTGTTGTGATGGTCAGGCAGCCGGGCTCCTTGAAAACACATCCCTTGGTGATGGCCTGGGACATCCACCACTGGAAGGATTAAAGTACATTTGATGAGACCTGAACCCTGGTATTTGAGTTGCTCCTGACGGACCGTTGGTAGGGCAGGAGGAACCACTGCAAGGTTCTGGCATTCATGCGTGCCCAAGGGACGATTGCAGGACACCATTTTGCCCTACCAACGGTCCGTCAGGAGTTGTGAGAGGAGGGCCAGGGACACTGTTTGGTCCGCTCGGATCCAACTCGCCAAAAGGTCCTTATACTGACCTGACGCTTCTGAGAGAGGGAGACCTCGCACAGCATGGTGTCTATGACCGCCCCCAGGTGTAGCAATCTGTTGGTCAGAGCCAGGTGGCTCTTTTCGAAGTTGATGGAGAACCCGTGATCCTGAAGGACCCGGATTGTGACTGCAGATCCTCTGTCGCCCGGAGGGGAGAGGAGCACTGTATCAATATATTGTCCAGGTAACATTGGACTCGCACTGGAATCACCCTGAGGTGTGCCGACAGTGCCGCCAGCAATTTGGCGAAAGTCCTGGGCGCTGAGGATAGGCTAAATGTTAAGGCCTTGTACTGATAATGTCGGCCCACATAGTGAAACCGCAGGAACCGCCATTGGGATAGTAGGATAGGTATGTGGAAGTATCCCTCCGTCAGATCTATGGATGTTAGGAAGTCTCCTTCCCGGATGCTCTCCAATATTGACCAGAGGGACTGCATCTTGAATCTCCTGTAAATTAGATGTCTGTTCAATCTTTTCAGGTCCAGAATTGCTCTCTCCCCCCAACCCGAGGTCTTTGAGACTACAAACAGGATGGAGTAGAACCCCTGTTCCTGTTGGCCCTTTGGGACCGGTTGAATGGCTTGGATGTCCAACAAGTGTTGGACTGCTGTCTCCATGAGGTCTCTTTTTGTCTTGTCCTTTGATACAGGGCAACATATGAAGAAACTCAGGGGTGTGGAGAGGTATTTGAGGGTGAGACCTAGTCTCACCGTATTCAGGACCCAGGTATCTGTTGCGGTTGTTTCCCATTGATTGGTGAAAAGGATTAAGTGCCCACCAATAGGAGGGTTGGACCTGTCGTCACTTGGAAAGGTGAGCTGGGATCTTACTGTGAAATTTCCAGAATCCAAGGAATAACTCTGTCCTTCTTTTCTAAGAGCACTCTTCTACATGTCTCCTCTGAGCAAAGACTGAGTCAAAACTGGGCATGCACCGGCAAAGGAGGCGTGACCAAAAGATTGATTGACTCAGTCTCCAAGCAGAAGAGCAGAATTAACCCATTCCTTGGAGTCTCAGCACACTGGAGAAAATATTTGCTACAACCAAGATCTTATTTAGAGTGAATGTTACACCCAGTCCTAGTACTTCAATAAATCTTGCTCAAGACATTGACAGAGTGTTATTGTACAAGCACACACCTAAGTTATATTTCTGTTTAAGATACAGTTTCTAGGAATTGTTTTAAGTTTGTCTTTTTCTTTCTTTTCTTTTTCTTTTGTACACTTCTCCCTTAAAATATAGTATATTATTTAAAATTGTTCTTTGCAGTTATTGTTCTATGTGTTTCATATTTGCTATTACTGTACTCAGTTCAGATATTAATATCAATAAGTAGCTCTTTTAGTTAATGCTTAAGAGAAAGTTACATAATTTCTTGTCATGTTAGTTAACAGTCCCGATATAGTCAGTTGGTGCCATCGCTGACTATTGGGGGTAAATCTCTGCCCCCCACAGAGAGGGCTCGCAATCTGGGCGTCCTCCTGGATGCATGGCTGTCTTTAGAAGAGCATCTGACGGCCGTGGCCAGGGAGGCTTTTTATCAGGTTCACCTGATTCGCCAGTTGCAGCCCTTTCTGGACCGGGACGCCTTGCGTACAGTCACTCATGCCCTTGTCACCTCCCGGCTGGACTATTGTAATGCTCTCTACATGGGGCTCCCCTTGAAGAGCACTCAGAGGCTCCAACTGGTCCAGAATGCGGCCGCGCGGGTGATTATGGGCGCAACCCGTTGTGCCCTTGTGACACCCCTCCTGCGCAAGCTGCACTACCTCCCAGTGGTCTTCTGGGTGCGATTCAAGGTGCTGGTTACCACCTTTAAAGCGCTCCATGGCATAGGACCCAGGTACCTTTGAGACCGACTTCTGCCACCAATAGCCTCCCACCGACCAGTCCGCTCCCACAGAGAGGGTCTCCTAAGGGTGCCATCAGCCAAGTTATGTCGGCTGGCGACACCCAGGGGGAGGGCCTTCTCTGTGGGAGCCCCTGCCCTGTGGAATGAACTGCCCCCGGAAATGCGTAAGATCTCCGACCTCCGTGTATTTCGCTGTGCCCTCAAGACCCTGCTGTTCTGCCAGGCCGGGCTATCAATGTAATGATTTTAAATTAGGTGTTTTAAATTTTGGGGGTTTTAAATTTGAGCCGAAACTATTTAATAATTTTAATTATTTTTAATTGATGGTTGTCTTTGTGCTTTTAATAGGCTGTACACCGCCCTGAGTCCTCCGGGAGAAGGGCGGTATAGAAATAAAATATTTTTATTTATTATTTATTATTATTATTATTATTATTATTATTATTATTATTATTATTATTATATTCAAAAATATCAACAATATTAATTAGTACATTCAAGCCCAAAGTAATATTTAAAAGATATCATAGCTTCTTTTGTACAATAAATTATGCTGACTTTTGAAAATTTTGAAGAAATTAGCATACCTTCCTCCTACTGCGTCGTCTTGTGATTGGGCCCCGACAGTGTTCCTTTGTGAACGTCGCAGTGACCCCCCTGGACTGTTATTAGGCCGGTTGGACATTGGCACCTCTCTCCTGAAGGGACATACCCTTTCTAGACACTACCATTCACTGAAAAACAAAGCAAACATTTTTTAAAATCAAAATATAGGACATTTATCAACAAAATTGTTTGTATGTCAGCTGACACATCCTACTTTATAGCACAAACAGCTTGAATAGTAAAACCATGAAACTTACAACATGTTGTTTTGCTCTTGCTACGCTCCCATTTTATGTTAAAGGTTATTTTAATACCTCAGGTTATTTACAAAATAGAGAATCAAGCATTATTACCATTTCATTCGATAACTGAATTTATGGAAGGCTTAAATTACCTGTCAATTACCTACTACCATTATATATTTCATTATGAAACATAATCCTAGAGTTAAAAAATAGAACTCTATCAAATTTCATTTTAATTTTTAAGAATGGGGAAATGGTATCTCATACCAATAGAAGATAATACAATTGTTTAGACTGGGGGAAAAATAGACAATACTGGTATTTTTTAAATGCACAAACTAAACTGATCCTAAATTAACACAATGAATAAACAGCTGGGATACAAAAATATAAAATTCAAGATTAAATATCTGTGTCTTCTTATTTTGGCTCCAATATTTAAGCTACAAAAATCTATACAGGATCACTATTTTATTGCAATATTATCCAATGAAAGTTGTGTCACAAAAAATGGACCACTTTAGTCTAGTAACGGCCTATCAGAATGTATTGAAAAAAGAGAAGATATTTCATATATAGGAACAGCCAAATAGATATTAATTACGGTATTTGCTGAAATGCTCCCATTATCTTAGTATAAACAGATTTCAGAGAGTACATCATATTAAAGTGCTTTTAATCAGCTACGTAGGTCAATTACTAGAAATTTCACTCCCCTAAAACTGTCAAGTATTTAAAGAAAAAAATGACAATAATAATGATCTCATATTTTTTCTGATTTACAAAGGAAGAGAATAAAACTGAGTAAAAAATTTGTAAACACTTCCCCTTTCCACTATCAACCTGCCAAATTTTTCAAGATTTTTTTTAACAATGTTTATGGAATTTCAAAGCAAATAATTCTTTCAGAACATTGTTTATTATGCTATTTAATATTTAGACATCTGCTGCATGTGAAACAGAGTTACCCAGCTCATTTTGACTATGAAAATAAGAAATATTCTTAAACAGAATATAGAAGCACATAGACAAATAACATCATTCCAAGTGATAGTTTATGGTGTCTATAAAGCAAAACCCTTTTTTTTTCCAAACTCAAGACTAAACAACCTCACTCAAAATGTTCTGATTAAGAAACATGAAGCGCATCCCTTGTTCCAATACAAAGCTTAACTGGGATTGTGGCTTTAGGCATAAGAAACAATGGGAAAGCTGATAAACAAGTCTCTTGATTTTTTTTTTACCTCAGAGATCTAAAGTAAATATAGTTAACAGTCCAGGTACACTGATCAAGCAAATTGCAGAAAAAATAGCTAATGAGATTTTTAATATATTTCTTACAATGTTAAAGCAAATTCTAATAAGAAAGAGTGGGAATATAGGCCTTTCATCATTAACTGAAACACTTTAGATTCTGTTACATAAAATGTTTCCTGGAATTCTTAGCTTTAACAAAATGAAGTATTTCGCTTCAAAAACATCCTTTAAATAAACTCATTCTATTAACAGATGATGAAAAGGTGATTCTATTAAAATTCATTTTTCCAATTAACATACAGAAACAACTCTGGCTTTATGATAAACAATCCACAGTCAGGCATTTAAAAATGCTCTTACCTTCCTAAGGATTTGCAGCATTTGTTTGAAGCACAGCAGTTCACATAAACAAACTTTCTTTACAGATATTCTTTGATTTAGGATTGTAATGAAACTTGCCCATTACAGTCGTAAGTCATGACAGTCCTATAATGTTATGTGACCAATTGGATTGTATGGCCTTTTTGTGGCGGTTGCTAAGCAAATCACAATGGACTCTGCAGTTGTTAAGGAAATGTCACAGTCATTAAGTGAATCTATTGTTCACTATGGGGTGTTTTTGCTGAAACCCAGAAATAAGTGCCAGTTTTCGCAAAGAAGTTATGAATCATAGACAGGTGACCAGGAGATACTGGAATCAACACTAAATATGGGCCGGTTCCTCCACTCCCAAAATGCGGGAAGGCAGGGTAGCAATTGCAACGTCAGAACTAATAATAAATTCCTTTTGGGGAGTCCATTGTAATTTCATATGGATGCTACACAACCGGTGTAAGTCAAGGTCTATCTCCACTTGCTTGCAAATAAAGTTCACCAATTCGCCTACAAACCATGTAGTTACCCATCTGGATTCTAAGTGCTCCATTAAAAAAAAGGTTAAAAATCAGCTATAATTTATAGAGCAGACATGCACTTGAAACCAATCAATCACAATCACGTGACTGCATGGGCACTACAATGACATAATGTTCAGGCATAGGTCATGTTCATTCATTCTTACAAACCTACTCTGTTCTCAAACTATTCTCAAACATTGGAATGGAGCATTTTATTATAATTTTATTTTTGTTTGGCTTTTAATCTAAAATGAGTCAGAAGGGCTGCACTTATGGCTTCTAGAGTGAATTATCTGAGTGATTATATCGAATAATTAATGGAGAATCCCACTTTCAATATGTCAAGTAAAAACAAATTAGTGAACCAGAAGTCAAGCTATGGAAGTGAGGCAGAGAGATATCCCACCCCCAAGGATGGAAGTGAGGACAGTGCAGACCACTAGGCCACATTTCTAGCTGAATTTCAACAAATATTAGGGCCATATTTGGGGGGAATTAGAACAATCTACTATTCTATCCATACCCAATGTTTTTTAATGATTTCACCCCTTTTGATGTAATACTGTCATTGTACCATTCAGAAAATCAGAAGGCTAAGCTCAATCATCGTTCAATCCTGTCTAAAGGAAATTTCAGCCCTTCCAGATAAACCAGAGGGGAAGCGGGATTAGATGAATCCTACATTATTGTAAGGCTACATTAACAAAATCTTGCAAATCTGAAGGCACAAATTTCCCACTGCCATTTTTAACTTCTTGATCCATTAGAAGGTATTCTTTCTAAGTTTCTTTCTGACCATTGTGCTGCTGAAGGTTCCTGCCTCTCGTCTGTTTCCTAGGCAGCATCTCTTCTTTCCCCAAGGTCATTCACATACCCCATCAGAGGAAATGACAGCATACAAGCAATCCTTAGGTTACAATGATAATTGTGACCGGAATTTCTGTAGGCAAGCAATGTAGTTGTAAAACATGTCATATAACTGCACTGCTTAGCAATGCACAAACCCACAGTCTTGGTTGATGTTTAACCCCAAGACTATATGGGCCATTAAGCATGAGGAGGCGGGAATCCAAGACAAGGAGGCTGGTGGGTTCAAGTACTATGGAGTATTATGGACAGGTTCCAGGACACATGCAGGTGTGCAAGTGAGCAAGTGCAGGCAGGCACTTAAGAGTTGGGCATATGCAGAGATGCTGCAGGCAAGTGCTAAGGAACATGGGCAAGTGGAAAAGTGAAGGAAGTAAAAGCAACTCACAACTTCCCACTGGCTTCTCCATTGGCTTTGCTTGTAAGAAACTGGCAGAGAACATTGGAAATAACTACATAATTATGGCTAACTGCAATGTCATTGCAAGCTGGACATCAAGCGCCTGGATCACAATCACATTACTGTTGGGGTGCTGCAATAATCACAAATTTGTGGACCAGTCACAAGTGCCCCTTATTCAGGGCCACGGTATCTTTGAATCACTAAATGAGCGGCTGCAACTTGTAGACTGTTATGTGCATTTTACCTAACTACTAAGAAGTACAGTGATCAACTTTGCAATTCCTTTGAAATAGCTAATGCTAACAGAAAATGCAGCAAATCATAATTGTAACAAAATAATAACACATACTTAGTGTCATCATTACACAAATGTTGCCTTTATATTATTGCATCAGAAATCAGAACAGAAATTATTTTGGGGATAAAATTATCCCCATCGCACGTTTTGTCATTTGTCCTATCCCCATTGGTGGATAACCACAACCAGTGCTCTGCTCTGCTGAATTCCCAATGCATAGCCCACTCCATGCATATACTATGTACAGGTAATCTTAAATTTATGACAATTGGGGCACAATTTCTGCTGTTAGCAAGGTGGCGGTTATGTGAGTTGCACCCAATTTTATAACCTTTTTTGGTTATTAAGCAAATCACTGCCATTAAGTGAATCCAGTCTCCAACCTTCGTTTTGTGGCGAAGGTTGTTGAGAGTGTGGTGGCACGACAACTGCCCGGGCACCTGGATGAAGCTATCTATCTAGACCCGTGCCAGTCGGGCTTCAGGCAGGGGCACAGCACAGAAATGGCATTGGTCACGTTGGTGGATGATCTCTGGAGGGCTCGGGACAGGGGTTGCTCCTCTGTCCTAGTCCTATTAGATCTCTCAGCGGCTTTTGATACCATCGACCATGGTATCATGCTGCGGCGGTTGAGAGGGTTAGGAATAGGGGGCACCGTTCTGCGGTGGTTCTCCTCCTTCCTCTCCGACCGCTCGTTCGTGTTGGCAGGGGGGCAAAGGTCGACCTCGAGGCGTCTCGCATGGGGAGTGCCGCAAGGGTCGGTCCTCTCGCCCCTTCTGTTCAACATTTATGTGAAGCCGCTGGGTGAGATCATCCGTGGTTTTGGGGTGAAGTGTCATCTGTACGCTGATGATACTCAGCTGTACATCTCCACCCCAGACCACCCCAATGATGCCCTTGATGTGATGTCTCGCTGCCTGGAGGCCGTGTGGATCTGGATGGGGAGGAACAGGCTCAGACTCAACCCGTCCAAGACCGAGTGGCTGTGGCTGCCGGCATCCCGATATAGTCAGCAGGTGCCATCGCTGACTATTGGGGGTGAATCTTTGCCCCCCACAGAGAGGGCTCGCAATCTGGGTGTCCTCCTGGACTCACGGCTGTCTTTAGAAGAGCATATGACGGCCGTGGCCAGGGGGGCATTTTATCAGGTTCGCCTGATCCG